AGGTGTGATTGGCCACCTAAGGAATCTGTCCTTTCAGGGAACACCTAAGTTTAAGGGTCCCTAGAAGAATAGGTTCAGGTCTGCTAACCAGAACAGAGTTCGGGAGTTCAGTTACGTGTGAGGAAGGTTATAGCACCCTCACAACGCCCATCAAAAGATGGTACCAGCATAATTTTGTGTTATCCAATAAGCCTTAAAATTTTACCAAGTAATTAATTATTGAAAATTTTTCTCAATTGACTCTAATACTTTAGCAAAAAATTGAAGAAATTTCCTCACCTCAAGAGTATGCAATAAAAACTACTGTTTCACTTGCAGAAGCTCCGTCGTCGGATTATTTAAAGAAAAAAACAAAATCAAAATTAAGATAGAAAGGAATGAAAGAATGATTTTTTTTTTGTAGGAAAAATTGATACTTTCAACTTTTCCCCAAAAATATTTTTTTTGGAAATTTATTTTTCTTTTAAGGAAAATTGATACTTTCAACTTTTCCCTGAAAATATTTTTTTTTGGAAATTTATTTTTCTTTTAAGAAAAATTGATACTTTCAACTTTCCCTAAAAAATATTTTTTGGAAATTTATTTCTAAGGAAAATTGATACTTCTCAACTTTTCCCTAAAATATTTTTTTTTGAAATTTATTTCTGAGAAAAATTGATACTTTCAATTTTTTCCCCAAAAAAATTTAATTTCTAAGGAAAAATTGATACTTTCAACTTTTCCTTAAAAATATATATTTTTTGGAATTTTTTATTTTTATTTAAAGAAAATAAAATAATAAAAAATAAATAAAAAATATTACATAAACCTAATCTAATAAATAAAAAAAAAATAAACAAAATAAACAAAGAAAAAAAAAAAAAAACCTGGAGCGGCTCGGATCGCGACTCGGCTCGGCTCGGCTCAAGGCAGGGAAACGGCTCGGGGGAGCGGCTTGGAAGCTCGGCTCGGCTCGAAGGGGGGCTGGCACGCGCGGGTCAGAAAGCGGGTCGACGCCCGGGTCGGTCGGTTTCGGCAAAACGCGCGGATCCTCTGGGTTACTTAAGGCCAAAACAACGTCGTTTTAAAAAAGTATAAAAGGCACTTCCCTCTGTTTTTCGGCAGAACCCTTCTCCTCTCTCTCTCTTCTTCTTTTTTCCTCTCCCTTCTCTCTAAAAACTGAAGAACACCGGTGGAATTTTCGTCGGATTCTGGAAAAAGTTGTCGGAATCTGGAAATTTCACCGGAAGTTGGCCGGAAGATCACCGGTTTCTGGGATTCTTCGTCGGAAACTGGGTTGGTCGCCGAAAACTTCAATGTTGCCCGGAATTTCACCGGAAAATTTAAACTTCGCCGGAAAATTCATCGGAATCTGGAAATTTCCCAGAAATTTCCAGAAAAAATTTTCGCCAAAAATTTTTAAAAAATTTTTCTCACTCCCATAACACTCCTAAACTTTTCTTAGCTTCCTATACGCCTCCTTTTCTCTCAAATCAGTAGCTTTGTTTACTGTTTTCTCTGTGTTTTGCATTCTGTTCCAGAGTCCCTTTTATAGGGATTGATCAGGAGTTCCTGATCAATCCCAATTCCTCGGAATTCAATCTTTGAATCCCACTGGACTCTTCTGATTGAATTCCCATTTTCAATGGATTCTTCCACTTTCAATCCTAGCCCTCCAAAAATCAAATAAAAAAAATACTAGATAATTAGAAAAGATAAATAAAAAAAAATATTATGGATAAATAAAAAGAATAATATCAGATATATAAAAATACGAAAATAAATAAAATAAAAGATAAAAATAAAAAATATATATTAGTAATAATAAGTAAATAAATAAATATATAGGATATACATAAATATAAAAAATAATAATAAAACAAGATTTGGACTTACCCCTTTGGGCCAGGCCCAATTGATCCGGGCCTGGACCAAATTGGGTGTCTACAATGACTAGCCAATTTTTTAGCGCCTAAGTAAGATATCCGCATAGGGCAGGATTTTCACAAAATTAAACTCAATACATAATACAAAAAATCTAATGAATGAAATACATATATATTATCTATAAATGATATAAAACCAATTTCTTTATTCAATGATTTTTTCTTAGCATAACAAAAAAAATATACATCCAAATTTTGTTGTAGTGTTTGAAAACTATGATCTTGATAAAAAAAAAAAAAGTAATTAAAATAACCAGAAAATGTGATGCAAATAAAAAAAAGAGTTAAAAAAACAATAATATTAGAAAATAAAATTAACTCAAAAAGTAATTGACATACCTTAATTATAATATTGATCAAACCATTAAAAAAATTAAGAAATTTGCATTAAAAAAGAATATGAATAAAAATAATATACTTGTAGGATTATTAGATATGGAAATGAATACTTCATATTTAATCTGTAATCAATACAAGTTCAATCAAGGAAATATTAAAAGATTTTGAAAGTATAAAGGATATAATAAATTATTTTAATTTGTTTAAATTTTTTTTTAAAAAAATACCAAATATTAAAAGATTATAAGGAAATCTATGAAGATATTGAAATTTTCAAAATTTTTAATAGATATATGTATATTATTGGAAAATTTTATTTTAAAAGAAATATATCTAAATTATATTTAATTTGTATGTTTTACATATAATTAATCCAAATATTTAAAGTAATATACATAGGAAAAAGTCAAAAAATTAGTAAAACTATAATGATTTAAACAAAAAATATTTGATATTTAAAAGTTAGCATTTGAATTTTGGATTTGAAATATATTGATGATAAAAGTTATTTGAGATTTTTTGTCATTTAAATTAAGTTAAAGTTTAGATAAAATTGAAATAATGGATAAACTTAATTTATAAAATTTTGAAATTATTTGGTAAATAATTAAAATTAAAGAATTATCTTATGTATAGATTGTACATGGAAGTGATCATGTAAAAATGCTTATTTGGTTGTATATTTAAAACTATTTTATGTGTCATCAAAATAAATTATAAACATAAGATTACACGTGAATAAATCTTACAAGATATTCTTGTATGTTGTAATATAATATTATATATGATTGATTTTTCATTTAAATCTTGATAAATTTTAATCCATAAATATATTTAAATAATAATTTTATCTATAGATAATATCTAATTATATAATAATATTTAAATTTTAGTATTTTATACATTTATCCTTCAAAGATAAATATCTAATCAGATAATTATATGATAACTCTAGACTCAAGAAATTCCTTCAAAGTGACCAACATAGCTTATTAGAGTTTAAATGTTATTTAACATAGATTTTCTTCTTACAATTATTTAGTTGTGCACTGTGATTTTATTTATATAAATAAATGAAACAAATTTATTAAGTCTATTTTTTTATTTGTTTTTAAATCATAATAAAAAAAGATATTAGCTTAAGTAGGTTCTAATTAAATTTATTATTATTTGAAAAATAGAAAAAAGAAATGTTACAGTTGATTTTAAAAAAAAATCTTACTTGATGGAGTTAATAGTATATTTAGTGAAAGAGTACCTATCATCAAAAAAAATTTGTTAGTTCCTATAGCAAGAATAAACTCATAAAAAAGAGATTAAATTAATAATAAGGAAAATGCATTTAACTTGTATGTTTCCTCAGATACTGAGAAAGCTATATAACTAAGAACTACAAACAATGAGAGCTTTTTTAAAGTTGTTATAGTATTTATCTCTTTTTTTTTACATTTTCTTAAAATATTAATATTAAAAGTCTATGACAAATATTGATTTAAATTCAAATTTATTTTAATTTAGATATATCTAAATCTATTTTCAAAATTGGTGGATTGTTTATTATCTATAACTAATATATTTAAAAGCTAGAGATAATATAAGAATTATTTATAAAAAATATTAAAGATATTAAATAATATTTTTAAAAATTTTGATAAATTTAAATAATCATGTTAAGTGCAGATAAATTGAAAAAGATAAATTACTTTGACATTAATTTTAAATTGAGATGATATGATGTATAGGAGAAAGGAATTTTATTAGAATTTAACTTGGTTTTTGATTAAATTTTAAAATTTTAAATAATTTAATAATTTTTAAAATGTATTTTTATAAATAATTTAAAATTAATAAATACCTTGTATGTCATTATAATATGAAGTTTTAATAATTATCTTATGTGTTGAAAAAAAAAATTATCCATACAAGTGCTCATGTCAACAAATGCTATTTGATAACTATGTATGTTATAATTTAATATATATATATATATGATATCTTTTAATATACTGAATAAAATTTTAAATTTTAATTTTTATCTAATTATTTTTAATAAGGAACTTTAAGAATTTGACCTAATAAATTTTTTTTATATATAAAAAACGTTAAAGCTCAAGGAAAATTAGAGAAGGAAATTTTGTAAACACTGAGAATCAAACTTCGGCATTATGAAAATCATCCTCTTAAAAGAGGTAAACCATTTAGTGTAAACTTCATTTTCAACCTAATAATAAGGTTTAGTTTAATATTACTACTATGGTTGAAAAAAAATAAACTCAATTTGAAAAAAGTGCATTTGAAAAGAAACGTAAAAAAAAAAAAAAAAAATTACTATAAAAAACTATGATTTAAGATTTTTGAGTGTTTGATATTACTGTAAAAAATTAAATATCTAAAAAGAACATGATATTGGAAAGGAAAAATGGATTACTTTTGTCAAAAATAAATAAATGGATATTTAATCATTTTATTTTCAAACCATAAATTTCAAACTCCAACTACACCTCTCAATTAACTTTTGTTGTTGGTTCAATTTTAACAGTCAAAAAGTGCTTTTAACACAAACTGTTTAGTATTGTTTCTGCGTTAATCCGCTAAACTAGCCTAAATCTATCCAATTATCTTCTCCCATCGCATTGAACATTCATTAACATCACTTATAGACTTTGTTTGTATAAAGTTTGGTACATCAAATTAAAGTGCAAGAGCAAGAAGAAAAGTGATCAAAAAAGGGGAAAACATGCCAAGCTACGGCAATCGTTGGCACGTCCTAATGATCCCATACCCAGCATCGGGGCATTTGCTTCCGCACATGGACCTAAGCCATCAGCTCCTCCTTCGCCGGTTTACAGTCTCAATCATGGTCACACCCAAAAACCTTCACTACCTAAACCGTCTCCTCTCTTTACATTCTTCATCCAATCTTCAAACCTTGGTCCTTCCTTTCCCTTCTTACTCTTCCATACCTGCTGGAGTCGAAAACATGAAAGACGTGCCCATATCCTTCGTCCCCAAATTTGCCGCTGCCTTGAGTGAACTCCATGATCCTTTGGTTCAATGGTTTCAAACCACCCGTCTCCTCCTATGGCCATAATATCTGACATGTTGCTCTGTTCTTGGACTCCTTCGTTGGCTTCCGATCTTAAAATCCCGAATATATGTTTCGTTGTCACCAATGCACATGCAGCATCTTCATGGTGGGTAAACGATCTCAATTCCAATCGCGTGCCAGATTGTTATAGAAAGATGCATCTTGGATGCATTCAAAGCTGGGGTTTTGTCTTCAACTCGATTAATGAGTTAGACAATGAACACTTGAACCTCATTAAGAAAGAGATAACCAAACATGATCGTTTGTGGGCTGTGGGTCCTTTACTCCCCATAAAAGCAAGTTCTGTTAGCAATAGCAGGGGTGGAACAAGTTCCATTCGGGAAGATCAAGTTATTGCATGGCTTGATTCTTGCCAGGTTGACAAATCCGTGGTCTATGTCGGATTCGGAACCCAGATAACGTTGACGAAACAACAAATGAAGTTAGTAGCTTCAGCATTGGAGGAGAGTGGGGTTCGTTTCATATGGGCTGTCAAGGATCCAATGAAAGGAATGGGAAATGATGATGATCAGAATGTGATTCCTCCAGGGTTTGAAGATCGTGTGGAAGGGAGGGGGCTTGTGATCAAAGGTTGCGCACCCCAGTTGGCTATCCTGGGCATCGTACGGTTGGTTCCTACTTGACTCATTGTGGATGGAACTCAGTCCTTGAAGGCATCCTTGCTGGAGTTCTATTGCTTGCATGGCCCATGCAAGCTGACCACTTGCATAATACCAAGCTGTTGGTTGACGAATAAGGAGTGGCAATTCGAGTTTGTGAGGGCATAGAGACTATCCCTGATGCAACCAAACTGGCTCGAATCCTGTCTGATTCCTTGTGCATGACCCGGCCTGAGAAGGTTAGAGCCATGAAGCTAAGGAAGACTGCTTTAGACTCGATTAAAGAAGGTGGAAGTTCCTATAAGGCTCTAGATGGATTAGTAGAAGAACTCTCTTCTCTTAGTGTGATGAACAATGAGTAAAAGTACAATGAACTCAGTATAAACTTTATGGATATTATATTTGCACACTGCCTGCATTCCTCATGCCTACCATACATATGGCATGAGAGAAAATAGGATATATATGGCACTTTTTCTTTTTCATTTTTTTCCCTATTTCTCCTTATTGGATCGGATTTGGATGGAGGAATTGGGTTCTTTGGTGGGTTTATAACCTAAAAAGATAAAGCAAAATGGTAGTCATTGCTAGAAAGGGTACAATTAGAAAGAAGAAAATAAACAAGCTTCCCTAACCAGAGGCCATACCAATTGGTAATAAAATGCATGGAAGCTGCTAATATCGTGTACTCTTAAATCAATTTTACAAATTCAAGGCATGTTTAGGCTAAAACCTTCATCTCTTTCTTTAATGATCTCAGTATTGTTAGAAACATAACAATTCATCAATTCCATTTATCCCATGGATTTTTCTATGATATAGAAACTACAAAAGAGAACCTAAACAAAGATGGCACAGTTAGGCATAGGAAGAAAAAGATGGTCCACTCTGCTTTCGGAAGCTATCTACCGTGTAAAAGCTCCTTTGCTTCAGCATCAAGCTTTTTCAGATTGTCCAAAGTTCTTTGAACTTTCATTGATATGTTAAAGTTGTGGTCTTCAACTTCTTTCATAAATGCTACAAGCTGCTCACGGTATGATGCACTTAACCGCTTCTTAACCCGCAACTCTGCAGTTAATTCTTGAATTTTCTTATCTTTTTCTTCATCCTGTAATTCAGAAAAACAATAATGATAATCAGAAACAGAGCCAGAGAGGAAAACAGGCCAGTATAAGTAAGATGGTATACTTTTGGTCATCACCCAACAAGGAGAATATAAACCGTCATAACCTAATTGATCAGGAAATTTAAGTGATGCAACAATTTGGCATATGGATTAGCAAGTGTAACTAAGCTTCACAAATTGACATATGGCATCCTACACGGTGATGTCAACTTGTTGACACCATATAATGCAATGTCAATTCAAAATAACAATAAATAAACTGTTACAACCCTTTGGTGCATTATCTATGGTAATTTGAATTTAATTGTTTCTGTTTCATGTGAAACCTTCTTCGTGACCATCAACAAAGAGAAAGGAAGGGGGCAAAGGGGAGTTTATTGTTTTACCTTCCAAATCCCTCTCTTACACAAAATTGTTAAGAAATATGTCCACTTGGGAAAAGGAAAGAACTTCCAACAAGTATAGAGAACAATCTAATGAGGATAGTTAAGTATTATTAGGAAGAAATATGTCCATTTGGGAAAAGGAGAGAACTTCCAACAAGCTCTAAAAAGAACCATATAATGACAAAGAAAAGCACCCCAATAATAATAACAACAATAAGCACGGGTGAGAAAAGAAAACCTACAAAAGAAACACAAGTTCCAATGCCCCTTTCTATCCAAAATGATTGGTAACATGAAAACAAGAAAAACATCAGTACAACAGAAAAACACAATAAAACTTTCTCTCAGATGATCTTGACAAAATTTGTTCTAGCAGGCTAATAATTAGATCTGTTCAAAGACAAAACGAAGGAAAAATACATGCCCAATGGCAAACAAATATAATGTAACAGAAGGAAAATTTGTACTATGCTTTTTCATTTAAAAAGAAATTAACCAAGGCATGAAAAACTTACAAGTGTTCTGCCATTTTCGTCCAACTGAATCACCAAAGGATGATTATGGTCCCTCACAAATTTCTTGATCACCCATCCCCCAGCCTTATCTCTCCTCAAATGAATCATTGCAGAGCAGTTTTCTCGTTGCTTATCTTGCTTCTGAAGTTGAACTTTTGTCTGATCACCAGGGTAACCTCTACATCCAAGTCCACGAGAGAAGAGTAACCCATCACGCTCCGACTTATGTGAAGATAAAACACGTGTAAAGAATCCTACTTGTCTTGCATAATCATCATAAAATGTTTTGGCATCTTCTTCTGATTCAAATATCATACCCACATAGGGTTCCCGGATTGTTTCATTGTCATGCATATTTGATTCATCCCCAGTAGAAGCTTCTAATCTTCCATCTACATCATCCACTTGTTCATCCACTGTCGCATAAAGAAAAAGGTTTATAATAAAAACTAAATTCACCAGAAAATAATACGACATCTAACCAACTTAAACAAGTAGTCAATGGCTAAGAAATTTATAAATCTCCCAAGAGACTCTCCTACTCACATGGTTAGCATGCAATTGCATGCTTAAACCACAAACATTTAAATATATGATAGAAAAGAAAATCGTACCAATAAAAGAGACATATCATCCAGCATGCATAATTACAACAGGAATCAACAGCGATGGTAAGGAACCAAATGTCTCAACTAAAAATACCGTCCACCCACTTCCCCTTTTTGCTGTGCATAATGTTCAGGTGATTATGTACATTTTTTAATCAATAAGGCAGAGACATCCTCGAACAAAAGTTAAATAAGGTAAAACTGACATAATGCATTACTCACTAGTTCAAGTCACAAAACGAACAAAACTCCCATATACAGCTGGGGAAAAGTTTATTGCAACACTTAATTGGTAACCTCTATCATGGTTCTATCCTTTTCCTGTCAACATATATTAATAAAACTGCAATCGTGGACAATCTTCACATCAAAGAGACGTATAGCACCAATTAGACAAAACTACTGAGATTGATTTATTCTGGTGATCCACCATTTCTTTAACATGATATAAGATCAGCTCTAGATTTCAAGTCTTGATATTCGGTAGCAATACTAGCAAAGATAAATATCACAGGCATTTATCAGCAGAGTTTCCAAAAGGCATTTCCAATTCAAAAAACAAAATGACCATGTTGATTAGATTCAATAAAAACAACAACCCGAGACTAAGCAAAAGCACTAGTTCCATATGAAACAACAATATACATTAATGTTAAGTTCATCATATGCTCTAATTTTTATAATATTTTAGACAATAAAATCATAAAAATAATTGAGAGAAAAATTCTGATCAAGATAGAAGGAAATACCAAAATTGAGCATGTGAAAAAATGTGAAATTTCTAGGGTTTTTTTTTTAATTCAAGAAAAGCAGAACTTATAAAGAGAATTTTTTTTAAAGTAAAATAAAAAAAAAAGTGAAGATTAAACTTACTGGAATGAACAGGTTTTTTCAGCTCCGTTTAGATTAGAGAAAATGGACTGTGACGAATCAGAAAAGAGAGAAGTAGAAGACGAGAAAAGATACATGAAAATTAAAAAATGGTGTTTTAAAAAAGAAATACACGTGGCAAATTTCTGGATAACTGAAACCGAAATGTTCTTACAGCGTTTATACCTTAGCCGCGCTACTAATAACGGCCACTGGTTCAGTCCAGGCCCGTAGGCCCATTCTGATTCTTCCAGAGCCCAGAGGTAGAATAAGACCGCAGTCCGACCAGCTCCAAATTACTATTATTTAATTTTTAAAAATAAGCTTAAATATAAAAAATTCTAAACTAAATTTAAATAATTATTCTTCCTCCTTACATTTTATTATAATCAATTAAATTTTTAAATATTTATTTTAATTCAATTGAATCCTTAAGCTTTTATTTTCATCCAATTAAACCATCAATTAAACAAAAAAAAATGTTAACGATTAATTAACTCTCATTTAATAAAACTTCAATTGAGTGAAAATAAATATTTAAGAATTCAATTAATTATAATAAAAAGATAAGGAAATAGATCATTATTTAATTTTAGTTTAGGGTTTTTGTATACCGAAGCCTAAAAGTTATATTTTATTTAATTTTAATTTTCAAAAATAAATTTTAAAATTAATTAAAATAACAATATAAGAATATATTTTATATTATTTTAATTAATAGTGATAAAAACATCAGCTATATGAATGGACAGCCAAGTTTAAACCTAATCCGAAATAATTTTGGAAAATGTTAACAGGTGACACTAGCTAGTTAAGGTGATATTTAAGAAAAGTATACTCAATGGATTTTTTTTTTTTTTTGAATTTAGTGAAATTAATGCATTAAATACAATTTTTTTAAGCAGTAACTTAACTATTCTTAAATAGTGCATAGAGACACCCACTAACCCAACCTAAAATTTTTTTGTCGTCCCATAAATTTCATCTGTTAAACTAACATTTAAAGTTAAAAATGTTGATTATATAATAACTAATCAAGGTAGAAAGGAACATCAAAACTAAATATTAATGAGTTAGTAGCATGATGTATGAAATTCTCACCAAGTAGCCCAACTCAAAGCAAAATTTATTTTCTTGATAAAAATTTTATTTTTTGTATAAATGTATATGGAAAATTTTATAACATTAATTTTAATTATAATACCCATTTATTGTGTAATTATTGTTCATATTAGTAATATAACTACACTATAAATAATAATGTTAGTAATTTAGTGTCAATGTAGCAACACATTATTTAGTAGCATATTATTTTGGATTTGCTATTGTTATATAGAGTTATGTATTCATATTAAATGGGTATCAAAAATTTTTTATACTTAAAAAAATATACAAGTTTTTTATATTAATAATGTATATATTAAGAGTTTATATTTTACACATTATCATTATATAAATTTTATACACTATTAATGAATTAAATGATACCATATCATCAATGACAAAAAATAAATTTTTACTAGCCCTTAGATAAATACATAAAAACTTAATTCTAAAAAATTCTCATTAATAAATTGACATCATATAATTCATTGAATGATAAGATATCAAATATAAACTCATATAAATCTTAACGTATTAAATATCTATATGTATGTTGTTCTCATTAAGGGTGAGAAAAAAATGGAAACCAAAATCAATTTGAAACTATAGTATTCAGTTCATTTCAAATTTATTGTTTTCTTATTTAATTGGATTAAATTCGGATATTAAATATATATATTAAATGCATATGAGATTTTGAATCAAGATGTGAAAAATGAAAAAAAAAATCGAATCGAATTATATATTTTTATTAGTTTTTATATTTTTTAAATTTTTATAAAATAAAAATAATTAGGCAAAATGTCAAAAAAAAAACTTTCAAATAAAAATTCAATAGTTATTTAACCCTTAATATTTTATTACAATCAATCAAATTTTTAATTTTCTATTTTAAATCAATTGAACTCATAAACATTTACTTAAGCTATTGATTGGACAGAAACACTTAACAATTTTTCCTCTAATGGCTTATTTGGTAAAAATAAAATTTTGAGGGTTTAATTGATTGCAAAAAAAAAAAAGATGAAGACTTAGATAATTACTGAATTATCTTTTTTACCCTTTTGTCAAATAATTTTTTATATCTAAATATATTAAAAATTATATTAAAATAATATATAAAAATAAAAAATTAAATTTAAAAAACCAATGAATAAATAGGTAGAATACAATTCGGATTAATTTTAAAGAAAAATCAATACGAATTTGAATCGAATTTTAAAATTTCATAATATTATATATTATCTGAAAAAATTAAATTAAATTTAATATGATCTAAATAGCTATCACTCATAGTTTTTTTTATAACTTTTTATAATAAAATTAATATATATATAATTTCAAATTTAAATATATATATTCTTAATGTAATGCTAGTATAATAGATTGTTGACAATATGATTTACTTGTCGTACAATTTTAAAAACCAAAATATGTAATGTAAGTTTATCAAACTAGTTCCTTTATGTGTAATTAAAACCAAACCTTGAGGAGTAATGCACATTGTACTTTATAATTCAATACCTTTGTGTTATAGAATACTCTCCACAAGTTTCTTCCTCAACACCTTTTGTTGTGATTCATTTCTCCCCTGCACCTGTTGTCCAGTCTCATCAGTTCCTTGATCTTTTCCCTGCACATACTGTTTGCCTAATCTCCTCCTGCATCTGCTGTTCCTCTTTATTTTCTCACTACACTTGCTGTTCTAAGTCAACACTTTCATGCATCTCATGTTTTGTCCCATCTCTCTCCTATACCTCTTGTTTTGCCTCCTCTGTCACTTGAACTGCTTTATCCAACTACTGTTTTGGTAAAATATTTTCAAACTTCAATCATATCTACCTTAAAAACATCAAACCAAACCTATATATATAGTAGATCCTCTTTAATTGATTTTCAATCCTCTAACATTATCATTTTTCAAAATAGATAAGCTATAGAATGTGAAGGATAAATATAAATAAAATCATATATTAAAATACAAAAAATATGCTTGATTTGTGAAAGCACATCAAAATTGATCGTCTACTTGAGTCATTAATTGTGAACAAATCACAAAACAAAAATTATTGGATTCCATAATATAAATCCTTTACACATTGAAATATAAGAAATTTTTCTTGAGAGTTTCTTCTACACTACCAAACTATCTCTTTCCTTTTCTGTGTGAAATGGTCAACCACAAAAAGACTGATCAGATCAAACTCATCATTTGTATATTTAAAAATCGAATATGAAAGATTTTAACCCTTAAAAATTTTTAAATTTTAAATTTTAAATTAAAAGATTGACTTTAAAACTTTAAGTAGTGATAATGAAATATGAAAATAACAGGATTGCATTTTCTTTAAGGATACACTTATTCTAATGTAAGTGTTATATTTTTTTATTTTTGTATTTTTAAATTAAAATAATTAAGTATAAATATGACATTTCAATTTTATATCGAAATAATTTAAAGTTTTGCTATGATATATAAGTAGAGACTTAATCTTAAATCTTTAAAAAAAATTTTGTGGGACAAAGCATAAGATCTTTAGATTACAATATCTCATAAGTGGAATACGAGCATCAAGTCGAATGGGAGTCAAGTGTTACATAATGAGAATCACTTTTAAAATTTCAAAGTCTAATGTGATCTATGTGTACTTTGTGTTGGGTTTGATAAGGACGTCAAGTTTTAATGAGAAAAGTTTATAACACCTCAATCTTACATCAAAATAATTTGAGATTTTGCTATAATATATAAATAAAGGTTTAATCCTAAACCTAAGAAGCTTTAAGATATTGTCTATTTTGATTCAAAAATCTCACAGTAAGACTCTACTTATATATCATAATAGAACCTCAAATTATCCAAATGTGAGATTAGTAAATATTATAAATTTAATTGCTACACAATAAAAATTAATCATCTACCATTTCATAAATCTCATTCCATCTATCTTAACATGCAAATTTGAAACCTTTAAAGTAAAATCAAATTCAATAGCTTATGGAAGGAATGCATGTATTTAAAAGACCAACAGTTCAAAAATAATTGATGGATTGGAAGTTTCTAGCTTTTTAAGTAAATGAATATTAACAATACTAGCAATTTTCATTGTTATGAATAAATATTAACAAAGTATTTTAATTTTAATTAATTTAAACTCATAACTAACTTCTTAAGGTAAGTACAAAAGTTTTAACTTCAAAAACTTTGATTTTAATTGTGATATTTTAAATTTCAAAAGTAATATACTAAATAAACCATTCTAAATTTGCATAAAATGTCACAAAATATTAAATATTACAATTTTCATTTCTTAAAATTGCTTATATGTAGAAAATTAACTTTGAAATATTAGAACGATTGAATAATGTTCTTATATTCCACTTTTTATTAACATTTAGGTATTTCAAAAAAGATTTCATATCAATTACAAAAATAGTACACACTAAAAGAATTAAAGAAAGTTCAAAATATTGTTTAAAAAAATTGCCTAATCACAAATAAGTTATTGATTCAATTGGTTAATACTCGTTTTTTTCGATGAAAAAGTCTTAAGTTCAAGTTTTACCGATGGTCATTTATCAGAGTCATCTCGAATGTATGACTTAAAATCACCTAGCTTAGACTATCAGATATGATATATCTTACTATAATCTGAAAGATTGAACAACTTAACTATTTATGGATTTCTCTTAAAAAAAATTACCTAATCAAATAAGTAAAAAGCATTATCTAGGAAAATCTTGCAAACTAAAACATATATATATATAATATGTAAGGATATTTTAAAATAAAATAAAATAAAATAAAATAAAAATACTATTTAATATGATTTGATATATATTATTCAATTAATGAGTCTTGAGCTATTAACATGCTGCGGTTAATGGATAAATATAAATAAAATACTTTCATTTTTTAAAAATACGGTTTGCTCGTAGAAATGAAAATAATATCACGGACGTTTATACATATTTTAAGAATAGACTACTAATTAATTAAGAGTCATTTATCATAGGCTATTTAATTCTCTATTTAACATGGTTTTTTTTTAGTTTGAAATTTTTTTTTTTTGTCGTTTTGAAAGTTTTTTATGAACGGTAAATGATGCTAGTAAATAAATGTAATTTTTTTTTGTAATTTTATGAGTCAGGTTTGATTCATATTTGATGTTAATATCTTATTTGTTTATTCAAATTTAATCTCATTTAAAATTTTAAATCTCAAATTTTTTTAAAATTCGACCTAAATTAAATAAAAAATCTTAAACTTACTCATAAAACTTAATTTATATAATAAAAAATTTTAAAAAATGATTAAATTAAATTTAATAAATTTATATTTAATAAAAATGTATATAAAAATTAAAAATTAAAATTATATATGTAAAAATTAAAATTAAAAATTATATAAAAATAAGAATTAAGTTTAATAAAATATATAATTTTTAATTTTAATTTTTATATATATGTGAATTAATTTATATATAATTTACATATATATATAAATAAATAAATTTTAATAGATATGAATTTGAGCCAAACCGAGTTAGATTCAAATTTTAAATATTTTATTTAAAACTTAATTCGAAATGTAAATGAATCAAAAAATTTTATTCAAACTTATTTAATAAATTTTAATTTTTTATTCGAACTCCTTTAAAACTTAAATAGGCCTATGAATTTAAACAAATAACTCAACCCTTAAACATGTTTATTTATAACAAATAGTTATTTATATTGAAAACACAGAATATGTATTTAAAATTAATTAAGAATTAAACTTATTTGATAATAATTTAAGATCAACTAAATTGCAACTTATTTAACAAGAATGTTAGCTTTTACAGAGAATAAATGTAATTAATTTAATAAAATAATTATTTTTTAAAGTAAAAATTTTTCAAATCAAATCAAACACATTAATTAAAAGACACATATCACATTAATTTGGGTTGTCATGTGTAAAAAAAATAGACAATTAACATTGGATATTTTCCTTTCCGACAGAAGTTTCATCCTATTTTCAATTAAAAATTTAAAAATCAAATAAAAATAAAGTAATACTAATATAATTTTGAATCACTACAAAAAGGGAAATGAAATTCAAGATTTAATTGAAGATCCAAGGAGAAATCAAAACTTCATAATGGAGTTGAGACTAACGAATAATTGCATCGTACTCTAAACAGAAAAAAAAAAAAATCATGGACTCATTATTTTTATGGTAAAAATAAAATAAAATAAAATAAAAGCAGAGAAAAAGATTTCTACTTTTACTGTCTTAATCACATTGCATAACAGCAAAAAGGGCCTCTGTTCAAATATTCAAGAATGTTCTTTACCCAGAAAAATGTTGGTTCCTTCCTCAAAATGACAAAAAAAAAAAAAAAGTCCCCAAAGTATCTTTGAATTAAATAGCTGTTCATCTCATTCCTGTATTTGCATTTCAAAACCCTATTTGTACAGAGCTCTACTAGACCTACACCCGCAAAAGAAAGGAAGAACAGAAAAAGAAAAAGAAAATCCAACAGTTTATATGACACATTTTGATCAACTGGTGAGGGAGTTACTATGAGATGATAATTATCAGCTACATATGATAACAAAGCTTTAAGTGGAGGATGCTGGGATACACACACCAATGGTTGAGGTTATCTATGTTGCAATAGCTGTAGCTCTATCGACTCGTATTCCTTCAAGTTGTTGACTACGTTTTGAACTTTCTTTGATAGTTGGTTACCATGCTCTTCAACAACTTTCATAAATGCAGTCAACTGTTCTTGATATGCTGCACAGAGTCGTTTCTTGTTCCGTAGCTCAGCAGTTAGTACTTGAATTCTCTTATCCTTCTCATCCTTCAGAGTTGTACACAGAAAGCACATCGTTTAGAAACACTTGGAAATCAAAACTTTGTTTCATATTTTCACTTGTTTGGTTTTGGAAAATATCATACTTAGAGCATAATGTGGCTACAAACATGTCTTTATATGCAAGCTAGTATACATTCCTGAAAAAGAAGCATACAAAAAAATTTTGAATGCTTAATTGTCAAAAGATATTAGGGAAAGTAATGGAAAAAGTAAAACCCATTTAGAAGATGATATATTAAATTGCCGATGAATGGCACAAATCAAGAGGCTCAAAATTTTGAGCTTCAAAATGATAATGCTAAAATCAAATGGGGTAATTTCACCACCTAAAATTACTTTAGAAATATTCAATTCATAAGCCTTAATTGGGGTTCGCTACATGAATTTGTTTTTCCCATTCCACTTGGTCAAGGGCATATCAACGGAAAGTTTTCAAGAAGCCAAATCATTTTTATTGATTTCAACCCATGACATCTTCAGCTTCCTATAACTCCTTTTATTCTTTCTACTGGCATCAATTTACTCTTGCGTAATGTCACATTGCTAGGCCTATGCTGCACATGATAAACTATCTAAATTAATCACTCCTAGGTTTATCCCTCTCATGAACAGCTTCAATTTTATTCAATTTTTCATATTCGAGTAGAAATCATCTCAGTATCCTCACTTCAGCAAATGTCTTGTCTGCTAATTGCATAATATTTAATACCATAAAGCATAGAGGATTTACAAAATTATTGCAAAAACGGATGGTGTAGATTTATCAGCAGCAGATATCAAAAGAAAAAACCACATGTCTGGCAACATTTATGAAATGTCCCAATAACTGAAAATTTGATATCAAAGGCAAGCATAAATGCATAGAAGAGAAGTATAACTAATTTGGGTTGAAGGATGATTCTTGGTTGAGATGCTGCTTAATTTTCCTTCACCAGTCAAAGCTGGAAGTGATTGTAATTCTTAGATTTTTTTTAGATTCACGCCTATTGAATCTGTCACTGTCCCATATTAATGTGGTAATTAGTATTAGGTTTGAGCACAGTTGCCATTTTCACCAAAGCTGGTATAGTCCTCATAGCGCATATGCTTGCAAAATACACCTCCTCTTTCGGCTAAAATGTGTAAAAAAGTAAACAAACCTACAGGCTACTTCCCCCTCTTTCCTTCCTTCTTCAATTAAGCAGCTTTCAGTCTAATAGTTAACCCAAATAAACTTATCAAAATTAAATGGATTCTATTCTTCTAGACGCATAAAGGTCATGTTTGACACATAAGATTATGATAGGATAGGATAAGATGATATTATGAATAGGATTAGATTAAATAATGTCATCCTATATCATGTTTGATGTGTGTAAGGATTAAGATAGGATAAGATGATATTATGAATAGGATTAGATTAAATAATGTCATCCTATGTCATGTTTAATGTGTGTAAAGATTAAGATAGGATAATTTATTTCTTGGTCAAAATTATCCTTCCTCAAAGTTTATATAATTTAAATTATTGATGTAATTTTTAAGGATATAATAGGACATGTAAGTTTAATCCTATGGATTAAAGATAATCCTCTCCACTTTGGAAGGATTGAATCATGCTATACCACGAGGATGATAATCCTCCTTGTAATCCTATCCCTTTCAATTAGAAACAAACCAAACATAATATAAAATGATTATTATACTATCCTATCTATCATCCTATTCACCAAACATGGCCAAAAGACCTTAGATTAACCTCATCTACTTATAAAAAATCCATAGCTTTCATGCCTTCTAAAGGAACACAACTCTCTGTTCCTAAAACCCCTTCTATAATTACAAGTTACATCTTCATACAATGGGTTTTGTTCTTCTTAAAAGGCATTTATACCATATCTTCATAGAGTAATGTTCTTCTTAAAAAGCATTTACACCATATCATTATAGAGTAATGAAAAAAAATGATACTAGACTATAGATAAATATCACACGCTAAAAACTTATTTTCCTACAAACAAGGGGCAATCTGAAGTCTGAAAAGAAGACATTATTCCTTAAAAACTTGAAAATGGTAACCACACTGCAGATTATAGTTCCAAAGAAGAGGAAAAGGAGGAGAAAAAAGTGAGCAACTCACCATTGTTTGACGAGCCTCACGTGGAGCGACTACAAGTGGATGATTATGATCCTTAACAAATCTCGTTATCACCCACTTTCCAGACTTATTGACCTTAATATGAATCATTGCCTTACAGCCTTCCCTTGAGCTTGGCCGCGGCTTTCTGACAGGGCCAAATTTACCTCGAATACTAACACAATGACCCTCCTTATTACATCCAAGTCGACGAGCAAGAATCCTCCCATCTCTTTCAGATCGGCGACAAGACATCACACGCATAACAAAGCCTACTCGCCGTGCATATTCATCATAAAATATCTTGGCAGCATCTTCAGATTCAAACTCCACACCTTCATGTGGTTCTACAATTGGATCTCCTTCACATGGGACTGCCACTATCTCTCCTCCCCTGAAGCTCTCTATCGCTACAGCACCCTCATCCAAATCCACTGCCACACAATAAGATGAACCATTATTCATAAAAATTTTTGAAAAAAAAAAGATAGAAAATAAAAATTATATCCTCTACAAGAAGAAAATGAGAACTATTGCTCATAACTACAATTCAAAGTAGAAAAGTAAATTACACAAAAAAAAAAAAAAAGATCATTTTAAGCAGTTCAAAAAGTTCCTAAACACTAAAAGCCAACAAAAACAAAAGCCTTTTCCGATCACATTATATCAAAAAAATGAAAATTCTAAGGGACCAAAGCAACTAAAACGAATTCATTCAAGAAGACATTTCAACGATTAGAACGCGAGACTCTAACTTGAACTTCCATGTTCAAGTCCAACTGAAGGGAGAGCAGACACTATCTCCCTTACTCAAGACCCGTGCCTCCATATGTACCCAAAAGGAACAAAAAAAAAAAAAAACCCATATTTCTTCTCAAGTTTATCTCCTTCAATAATTCATCAAATAATGAAGAGCATATATAATTTGATTTCCTTTAAACCCAAATAAGAAACTGGAAGTTAAACCAATCAAACAGCTGAAAATTTCCATTTAATGCCAGCAAAAGTTAGAGACGAAGTGATAAAAATGAAAAGAAACAGACAAAAGAAATCAAACCCATTAAAATAAAAGCTCTCCTAACACTAAATTCACAGCGTTTATCATCACTCATCAGCGTATATGAATGGAAAAGTAAGCGAAATTAACGAAAGAGTCAGTGAAACAGAGGAGAAAAACAAATGGAAAAATGTCGAACAGTGGAAAGAAGTTGTTACTAACTTGATTGAGAGGATCGAAGAAGGTAAACGTGGACCTCTCGTATCTGTGTTCTAACCAGAGGAAGGGAAAGGACGGCCGCTAAACTGTGGGGGCTCTAAAGGTAATTTTGGAGAAAGTTTTAAATATAAATTCGGAGAATTCTAAGTGTACCCACGTTTTTCTCTATAAATTATTAATTATAAATAATTTTAACAAAAAATTTTTTATAATTTTTTACTTTTTCATTTTCGAAAATACATTTTTAAAAAGTCATAATTTTTTATAAGTTTTACGATTTTTTATAAATGATGAATATCCCAAAATTTATAAAAAAATATTTAAATAATTTTACTTATAAAAAATTAAAAAAATGCATTTAAAACTCTCCGGTGAGAGAAAATTGAAGGGAAGGAAGAATGGGTGAACTTTTTTCAAATTTTTTATATCAAAATGTTAAATTCAATTTTTTAATACAAATCCAATTAAAATTACATATATTTGTATTATATTATTTATGTTACATGATTTTGTTTTAATTTTGACATAATGTAACTTAAAATTTTTTAGTTTCTATCAAAACTTATATAATTATAATTAAAATTTTAAATTGTATCACCTTCGCATTTTTTTTTATATATCTTATCATCTTATCATATTTTAAATTATCATATCTACTTGTCACTTATAAATTTCAACTTTCAATCATGCATATTTTAGCATGATTCAAGCCGTAACTCTCAATCGAATGAACTTATTAAGCTTCAGAATCAGCAGGTCATTGTAATTTCCTATGCTGTTTACAACCAACTCTTGATTCTGCTCTTTCTCCATTGGCCAAACACTTGGGAATGGAAATCTCGGGGCATTCATGGAACCTGGTATCCTATCGATCCAACCTCAAGCATTGGCTTGAGGCAGACAAACTCTATACCCAGCCAAGGTCAAAGGGGCATTCAACTACTTTCAATCAGTGTATGCAACCAGACAGTGTAAGCAATTTCAATTTGGCCAAATTTTATGTGTAAAGCATCATTACTCATATCAGCTTCCAACTGATGGCAACGGGCACAACAAATTCTCAAGCTCCATTTTGATGGACAGTGAAATTGATTATAATGAAATTAAAAACAATAATAAAAATTATTATAACTGCGATTAAAAATAATTTTATTATTACTATGATTGAAAAAAAAATTAATGAAAAATTTATACTGAATAGATCTCACAAGAGCTAACACTTAGATTCAACCGAGCATGCGATAAGGTGGTGAAATCCAAACGGATACTTAGAATTTAGAGAAATCTTGCACAATTTAACAAATTTAAACAAGTTTATGTGAAATTAAGCAGTGAATGCATACATGCAGTATAATATTTAATTCAACAATCCAACCGAACAAACCAGCATCAACTTGGTTTACTCGATTACCATGCCTAGTTTAATATCTGCTCAGTCTTACTTGTCCACCAGCTTCATTGACACAAACGAGAATCTCATGAAGACCGAAGTGCTTTGATGACGGCAAGGCCAACCAGAGAGTCTTAAGTTAATTGTATCAAGATGTAAAGGTAAGGGGAAATGTTAGCGTGAGTATCGGGTGGGTTAACAACTAATGTTTCGTGCAGTGTGGTAAATTACCAGGTTCACAATGTATTAACTAAACTCATCAAGATGTTTCCCATTAACTTTAAATCTGTCAGCAATAATCCTTCGCAACAACCTGACGCTTTTATTCGACTTGTGATATGGTATGACAACCTTTAAGAGGAGTAAGAACCAGATAAAGCACGAATACAAGAGTTACAAAATAAAATTTGTGGACTAACCACTCCAAAGGCATCTCAGCGAAGTCAATCATTCAATTACCTATCATAGATTAAAAGTACAAGAGGTAAAAATCAAGTTTTCTGATATAGTCCAAGTTAGAAACTTATAGGTTGTTCTGAGAACAAGATAAATACCAGAGCACCTTTTGCTGTATTAGTAAATTCCATATGAAAGCAAAAACAGCGGTTCATTGTTCAGCTGTATCCAAACTGAACTTACAGAAGAAAGAAAATAAAAGAAGCAGGAAAAGATAAACATTTCAAAACCATTGTTTACAAGAATATAATGCTAAAATCAAGTCGGCCAAATCCCCATACATGTTTCTGGAGTACAACTCACCTTTTTCCTCATGGTGGCTACAACCTTTTGGCAGAACATTTAAGCTCTCCGCATCACATACTTCTTCAAGTGCTCTTTTTATGTGTGCATTATTTTCTAAAGCCTCCTTGCATTCAGACTGGATTCCTATAATTGGCCAAAGCAATAAATACGTGGACACATATAAATATACATGTATACATCCACAGTGAGATAAGGAGGAATGAAGAAATGTTGTGCACTTTGCCATATTAAGGATCGGTAAAGATCATAGACAATTTACATTCCTTCCACCATTTTCCGACTCTTCCAGTTACTCTGGTTTGAGATTCAAGATATTGAATTGCCAGAATCAACAATACCCATCTTAAACCGTATTCAATTAAAAGTGAAAGAAAAATGAAATTTTTCTATGAGTCTAGTGACTCGCTTCTGGTGCTAGATGAGCCAGTCCTGAGTCCTGACCCAGCTGGCACCATACTGGGAAGAATCTGCATTAAGTTATTCTTTCATCTTGATTATAAACCAATTATTGATCATTGGCTTTTTCACTTAAACTAGTGGTTCCATAAAAGACTTCATGTTGTTCACATCTTCTTTTGATTCTGTATACTCTTGTGGTTTAAAAAGCTTCCACATCCCAACTGGATGCCGCCTTTGAATGCCAGCCCCTTTTGCAAACCTCCCAAACATCTTTTCACACTCTGGATATGGCTTGACATACAAATTATAGAATCTAAGCCTGCTTGGCTTTATCAAACTCTTCAACCCCACCTCAAAACCCAGTGCACCTTTTGATCTCAAATACTCTAGGACATTGTATCGCGGCACAATCTGTTTCTCAAAATTCGCACCCAAATACTCTGGAACCTCAACCAAGCAACCAACACCATACTTCATTCTGTTCACCAAGAACTCAATTTTCTTCTCAATCTCCTCTATCTCATATAAAATCAATCTTGGCTCTTTCCACAGGACCTTAAATGCTTCTCTACGAATCAACCCGTGTTTGCACAAGCAATCAACTCTAAGCTTAACTTTAAACCCAGCCCTAAATTCTCCTTCACTAAAAATACTGTCCTTAATGGGAACACGACATTTCAAAGTCCTCAACAATTCCAAACACCTTGACATTTCCCCTAATTCCATACCCAAAACTCTCGGCTCGCTTACAATCTCCTCCCTCACCTCATTTTCACTAAAACCCAATTCCAAAAATTCGTAAAGCAATGGCTTCAACCTATTTTCAACATCAAATCCTAAAACCTCAGGAAACAAATAGAAAACCTTTTCAATCCCATATCCTGAAATCCCAATTCCTTCCAAAAATCCAATCTTTTCACAAATTTCATTTTCCTTCATCACAATTATCCTAGGAAACCCTTCTAAAACCCTAGTCAAAACCCCACCATTAAACCCTAAACCCTTCAAAACACCAACACTCTTCAAAAACCCGTCTGGGTCAATCTGAAATCTCCTAGAAACTGCCAAAACATTGCTGATAACCAAAGGGGAAACACCCAAGTTTTCAAATTTAGAAATCCCAATTTGCCATCTCTTCAAAAAATCAAGGTCTAGAACTGCTGGACAGTCAGATAATAAAGAAATAAAGGAATTCTGGGGAATCTTAAAAGATAAAAGAATGTTTAGAGACTTCTGGATGTCATTCAAATTGGAATTCTTGAGTAAAAAATGGTTTTTTGCAAGAAAAGTGTGGAGCTGAGAAGGTGGAAAACCATACCTTTGAAGGAGATTTGCAAGAGAAATCTGGTTTCTGTATTGGGAAATTTTGGGGGTAATCGAGGAAAAGAATTGGACTGATGAGAGCCGGCTGAAAGCAGTCGCCTTGTTTAAGGCAGTGATAGCCATTGTTTTTTCTTCACTTCAAATTCTTTCGTTCACTCTTCAAGTGTATTTTAAGTTTTTGAGCACTTTCTTTAGCCAGTTTTTCATAATATAACTATATTTTATTAATTAATGCATTCACTACCAAAGTTTTGTTTCTTATTTTTATATATTTTAGTACTAAAAAATCATATGTTATGGTTTCTTAATTAATAAATATTAAAATATACAAAATAAAAATTTTAATTAAAAAAACCCTAAATTTTAATATCTATAACAATATATGAAAAAAATTCATCATAAAACACAATTGATTTTAGACCCTTTATCGGAATGACATTTGTCTAAGATAAAAAAAAAATTCTATAAATTATTAACGGTATTTATGAATTATTGATGATATTTTATGATAAATATTATCAAAAGTATTATGTTGAAAATATTTTAAATATTACAAAAAAAAAAAACTAAAAAGACGTGATTTTCAAGTTGTGATTTAAGTAGTAATATATAAAAGATATTACCTTCGATTTCCAAAGCCATATGATCAAATGTCCATTCATCATTTGGTTCTTGTACTTAATTTAATTGAATAAACTGAATAAAAAATGATTAATAACATAGATTATGTTATTTAGGGATGTAATCGAGTCGAGTCGAGTCTAATAATAAAAAGTGCGAGCTCGAGTTCGACTCACAACTCGAGACTCGATACTCGACTCAAACTCGATCGAATTTTATTTTTCAAGTGTCAGCTCGATTCGTGATCGAATTTCAGTTATCCGAGCTTACTCAATTAATATATAAAAGTAAGCTCGATTCGTATACTAGACAAGAATTCGATTATTCATGCTCGAACTCGAACTCGGACTCGAAATATTTTATTAATTAAAATAATAAAAATATATTTAAATATAAAAGCTTGATTAGGCTCACGAGCTACTCGAATCGAATATAAGAATACTCGAATTCGACTCGATCGATAAGTAGAACTACTCGAGCTCGACTCGATAATAATCGAATCGAATTCGAGTTTTCTTCGAATTGAATCCGAATAGCTTGCGAGTACTAATGTATCATTTATACCTCAAATGTTATCAAATCTATTTTTTTAATCTATTACTAAAAATTTTGCTCGATTACATTTGGGCTTATTTTTTATTTTAAAATAATATAAATTATTAGAATTTAATTATATTTATTTCTTTATTTATGTATAAAAATATATAAAAGTCAATTAAAATATTTACAAAATTTTTATTTTATGAATTTTTTAGATTAAATATCTTTTATTATTCAATTTAACAATAAGCAAATTAATATATTTAATGAGGTTTTAAAAAAAAAACTCAGATTTTTTTTTAGATTTTAAATTTTAAATTTTTTTATGTTTTTCTTTTTAAAAGGAAAATACAAAAAATGAAGGCTAATTTAATTAGACTTTCATTAAACCCAAAACACTATTTGAAAGACTATTTTTATATATACAACACTATAGCGTTTTGTTTCTTAATTAAATTTAAAAAAAAAAATTATGAAGACCTAATTGCTTGACAAACTTCAAACAATGAGACCCTCAATTAAAGCCAATGAATAGTAAAAATTAAGAGACTACTTTTAATTATAATATATAGTAATAGATGTATATATTTATATGTTTAATTAATTAAAGATATTTTTGTAATTTTTTCATAAAAATATTTATTAAGAAAATTCTTAATTTTCATATTTTTTTCATAACATTTTTCTTTTTTAATAAAATTATTTTATAAAAAATAGAATAGTAGTCTCTTAAGGGAGCTAATTAAATTAGTAGACTAGTTTCAATTATAGGAGATAGTAATAAATGTATATATTTATATGTAAGTATATATATATATATATATGTTTAATTGGTTATTTATTTCTTATAATTTTTTTGTTATTTTTTCTTAAAAATATTTATTGAGTAATATTTTTATTAAAAAAATTGTAATTTTTTTAAACATTTTTTGTAAGTTTTTCATTTAAATATATATAATTAATTATTTATAGATGATAGGAGAAAAAAAAATCCAAATTGATGTTGCCACTTGCCATGCACATTTTCTCAAAATTCATGCACATATTTAACATTATGATTATTATCATTTATACCCAATTTAACCCATGCATCATAATTTAAGACATATATTAGTTATCCATAAATTAATCTTTAATTTTCCAAGGGATAACTTTAATCTATTGTATTGATATAGATATATATTATAAAAATATCAATTAATTTTTTTATATTAGAAGTTTTCAAAAATTAAAACCCTAATTATTAGATTAATTTTGAATAACCACAAATATATAAAATAAATAAAGAAAATAAAGAAGTTAAAAAATATTTCTATAATCTATAACTTATATATTTTAACAAAAATTTGTAATTGTTGTATTTTCTCTCTGATTGCTTAAATGTTTTCATAAAAATATTATAATTTAAAATATATTTTAAAAATCATACCTTTAATCAAATAATTTATAATTTAAAAATAAAAATAATGACATTTACACTGCAATAAAAATTGCTAACACAGATAATATAACTTTCATATAATACAGACTTTAACACTTTAAATGAATTGTTTAATAAATAAATAGAACTAATTAGCTCCTTGCATAGTGAGAGAGTGAATCCTAGTTGACTACAAAACCAATTATTTTTTCACATTTCAATGAAAAAAAAACATTATTTTAATTTAATTGAGAGAGAAAATATTTTTATTATTGACAAATGACAAGCAGGGATTGATAGGAAGACAAAAAGGTAAAAGTCGGCTGGTCGGATTTTGACAGAGATAATAAACCCCGCACGTTCTGCTCGTTAAAACTTGGTGAAATGTTGAGAATCCATGTCGACGACTGCAAGTCAACCGTCAGATTTTAACCCTCAATTATTTTCTGTCTAAATATCTCTTTCTCGAAGAAAATCTGTCCCTGTTTGAGAAGCAGAAACTCAGAAGGTTACTCTCAAGACCTAAAAGAAACACAGTTCAAAGATCATAAAAAGTAAGCTTTGTTCTCCTCTCCCATTTTTATCAGAATTGTAAGCTTCTTTTCTTGTTTCTTTTTCCATTTCTGGGTTATGCTTTGTTGTGTCTGTTACTAATTCATTTACCTTCTTTCAACTACTTGTTTTTTTGCTACATTTTTTGTTAGGGAAATTTAGACAGGATATTTTGAGTAATTGATGAACTGGGTTTGTTCTGGATTCTTAAGAAAGTGAAACAAATTTTGATTTTTAACTTGGAAAATGCAAATATATGCATTAGCATTAATTAGATAGTGAAGTTTAATTAATTAGCATTAATTTGATTTTGATTTTAGTCTTAAAAGCATTGATGATTTGTGAAGTTTCTTAATAGAAAATGTGGGAAATTGGAATAATAATATGTAATGAACAGGTGGGATATTGAATGCTTTAGGAATTAATTAGATATGAACTATTGTATGCTTTAGGAATTAATTAGATATCAACTATCATTCCCATTTGCAGGAATAATGGCAGGGATTGTTTGTCCACATGAATTTTTGGATAGTGATAGAAGCTCAGAGGATGAAACTGCTCTAAACATTGCTGAGTTTGAAGGGATGGGACAAGAACTGTTGCAGGGACATAATTTAATAAATAATGAGTTCATTTCGTTAGAACAATCAGGTGAAGCTTTGGATTTAGGAAATTTGGAGCCATACACTGGGATGACTTTTCAATCCCTAGATGATGGAAGGGATTTTTATTTTGAATATGCCAAGCGCACTGGTTTCACCATACGAACAAATCGAATTCGACACTCACTAAAGAACATGGCTATAATTGGACGGGATTTTGTGTGTTCAAGAGAAGGTTTTCGTGCAGCAAAGCATACACATAGAAAAGACAGGGTTCTTCCTCCAAGGCCAATTACAAGAGAAGGTTGCAAAGCAATGATAAGGTTGGCTGCAAGGGATGGAGGTAAATGGGTTGTTACCAAATTTGTACGAGAGCATAACCACAAGCTAATGGCACATTGCCAATTTTCCGGGGAGCTGCCAACTATTAATATGCTCAGTGAGGTAAGTCTCTGATACTTAGAAGTGGTCTATTGAGTTGATTTAACTCATTGTTATCATAATTAGGATTTAAATCTTGGTATGGAAACTAAATTACATATTAGCAAAGGTTTCTGATTTGAAATTGATATTTCATAGCATCAGTACCTGTTATAATTACTTATGCATTCCCTGAAGAAGATTTCAGATATAGCATCCTCTACTAATTGAATGACTTGGTGATTGACGGGCCCCATCTATTTGTTGTTTTTGCTGATGCCTGAATCTTCTTTCCTCGAAACCTCTTTTTTCTTGGAAAGGTTATACAAATAATAATTTTAGTATGAGCGTTCACAATGGAATCCTGTCTGTTTTGAATCAAAACTCTATGGCGAGGAACTTCATGTGTCTCTCAAAAACTTTGTGAAGAACTATTTGTCAATGGTTATACCTGCAGGTTCTTACTCTTGGTTTGTGGACCTAGGCATCGTCCATTTTAAGGGGTTGCATTCCAATGGTAGGCATTGTAGCTATGTAATGGTAGATGGGAAGAAGATGTAGACACCTATAGTGTTTGTCTAAGGAATTTCTTTTTACGTTCATACATTTTGAGCAGTGCCAACTGCCAAGGGAAGTACACGAACTGTATAAAAGTTTCCCTAAATGTAGCCTGTATGCTAGTCCTGTGTGGAATCCCCATCTTTTTCCCAATCTTGTTTATGCATTATATTTGGGTCCAAACAATTGTGTAGAAGTTCATACTAAAAATTGAAAGAAGAAGGAACCTGTGGAAATGTCATATTTGGCAACTTGGCCTAAGTTTTGCTGCATTTACTTGAACAGTTTTACACTAGCAGGGTACTATTAAATTAGGCTTTTGCTCACACATTACACTCTTATTGTTTGTGAGTGAAACCTTTGCCACTAGCTACTCTAGGCTTTGGGGTTGGTCCTGGTGAATAAGTTATAGAGACCTGTTAATACTTTGTTGTTGGATTACTTAATTTAGCTTTTTCTGCTATTTTGGGCTTTGATGGCGTTTCTAAAAGAAATCTGGATGTCTAACCTGAAACTCTTGGTAGATCTTTTGCACATATCAGTGACTCCTTGAGGAAATTTTCTACTAGTCAATCATGCATATGATACTCCTTAAATACAAAATACTTAGGTTGATGATTTTGCACCTGACTTCAGGTTGATGCTTTTGCAGGAAGAAAAGGATAAGAAAATACAGGATCTATACAATGAGCTACAGCAAGAAAAAGAACGGTCTGCAGCGTTTCGAGAACAATTACAGATGATTCTTAAAGATCTCGAAGAACATGCTGAATTTATGTCAATAAGAGTTGAGGACATAGTTGACAATCTGAAAAGGGTTGAACTTGACTATGCATAGCTAGCCATGACTTCCTGCAATTTTTTCATAGGATGGGCCATAACTAGACCTAATTTTATAACATTAGGACACTTCTAAATTCAATCCTGGGGTTTGGCATTCTAAATGTTTTGAGGCTGACAAATTAGTTTATTAGCATAACACTGTATCTTAGAAACCACCATGATAGAGGAAACATGTGCTGGGGATTTCTTGGGTGTTCTCCTCTCAATGATTTCAGTTCTATTCAAACAAGTGAAGATGATGAACAAGATTGTAACATGTTAATTTCATTGAATTTCAATAGTAAGTTATTTTTATTGGATCGAAACTGCCTCTCCTTTTACCTCTGCTTCTTTCTCTCTCCCCATGTTCCGGCATATTATTAAAAGAAAAAAAAAATTTTTGCAGCTTCATTGACTGTAAAATTTTAGAACCAGGAAAGGTTGAATGTGGAATTCTCAATGTTGTGGTCAGACTCTAAGGTGAAAAAAATAACAAAATTTGCTCATGCCCCTAGCAATGGTAACTCTGCATCATGGATAAACAAACCAAAAAAAAAACCTCTTCTCCTGATCATTTAAGCAAATCATATATTGATATATACTAGGAAAGAAGAGAAAATTATGACAATGGGGATATCAGAGAGAGAAACAATAACACCACCTATCCCCAACCAATCTTACAGGCATGCAAATCAAAATAAAATGAAAACCAGCAACAAAATACACACTACTATTTTCATCTTCGGTGATAAAAATTGTTCCCAGCTCCCCATTGCACCCTTTTTCCCCTCTCCCTTCTCCAAGTTAGTGATACCATTGATTTGGTGCAGCGACATACATGTGAAGCAATTTGTTGACTGTAACTGTGCGACATGCACACACATAGACACTATGTTGAACCAATGCAACGCAGCCACAAGTCGGAGCCAAAGATCATGTTGATTTGTCCAAAAATATCTACAAACCCTTGATAGATCCTTGCCTTGCAAGTTATGTCAGAGCACTAAAGCCTCCTCCTTTCATCATTTGCTTGAATTCCTTAAAATTAACCCTACCATCACCATCCATATCAACTTTCATTATCATCTTCTTGCAATCCTCAACGGTTTTCCCTTGTTTAAGCCCAAGTGAATCCAAAACAGACCTCAACTCATCAACAGAAATATAACCATCTCCATTTTGATCAAAAACATTGAAAGTCTCCTTCATATCTTCATCTTCATCCTTACCATCCATGAGGGATTGATACAACTCACCAAACTCATCAATATCAACACAATTATTGCCATTGACATCAATCTTTTGAATCATTTGGGTTAACTCTTCATCAGGAATAAAGATGCCCAAGTTCTCCAATGACTCATTCAACTCTTCCTTTGTAATCCTCCCATCTCCATTCTTGTCAAACACTTGGAAAACCCTCTTTAACTCTTCACCATCCATTGTAGCAACAAGGAGAGGATCTGCAGAGGTTTTGTTTTGGTTTCACTGCCGGCAGCAAACAAGGGTGGTGTGGGTAGGATTAATCCAGGAGGGGGGCAGGAAGGATAGTTTCTTGAGGACCAAATAATCTAAAACAAGATTGTATAGTTCGAAAATCCTAAAGAAAACAGTTGGCATTGAAAGGGAAAAAAAAAGACAACAAAACCAAGATTTTTTCTGTGGTAGGAAGAAAATTTGGGAGCAAAATTTGGAGAAAAATTAGTTGCAAAGTTTGAAGGGAAAACCAACAATAAAGGAAGGGGCAGGCTGATGATTTGTGACCGTTGGATGTTTAGTTTTTCCTCAACAGTTGTTTTCGCTTGATTGGTGGGATGGTGACATGTGGTGTCATTGGATATTTAGTTTTTTTATATGATCTCTAAATCATGGTATCTAGTTGAAGTTCTACGTCTTACAGCTGATCTCATGCACTTGTTCCAGTATTATACAAGGCCGGCAAGAAAGAAATGCAGTAAGATGACCATGTCAGGCCACATTTAGCAGGAAGCAAGCATTGCAATTGACCTGAAAACCCTATCTGAAATCTTGTTGGACTTAAATAACATGTAGTAGGTCATACGTCCTATCAGCCGAGTTGCTGTCATCACATGCATGTGTCACTCGGCCATAACCCTCTTTCTGCAAAACCCGGCTTATTGAGGTGCATTTTCAAGCATAGATTCATATCAGAAGGCAGAAATAAGTCCAGAAAATAGAATGTCTGATTAAACAGAGAAACCACAACAACAAACATTGACGGTAAAAGTAGATGCAAAAGGGAAAGTTGGGGAACTTTAGAAAGAAAGAAATCCAATTAACAAGCTACATTCTACATGGTACCGGAATTGCACCCACTTTTTCTGTAGAATGCAAAGAAAAAGGAATAGAAAAGGACTTCATTCTCATATCATGCTATCTGTTCTTCCAGGCAACCTCCTGAAGAAGTTTTGGGGCAGTGAAGGAATGCTGATTCGAAATCTTGGATGCCTCATTGTGAAAAAGCCAACTCCAAGTACAAATAAGCGACCAGGAATGAAATACAAAGTAATACTAGCAAATAGACAAAAAGCTAGAAACATAACAGTAGCTCTTGGATCTCTCCAGCTTAGCATAGAAGTAAACCTCTCAGCTTGAGTTGCAAGGCCCCCAATTATTGTCATTATCCTCCCTGCAATGCTTCTCAAGCAATCATATCTCTTTTTAAGAACTGCACTATTCTTAGAAGATGGAAATGTATCAAACTCCTCATATAATTCATCAGAGTTCGCCAAATCAATGAGAGACAATTTGGTATCCATGTGAGGAGGATGTCTTGACCTTTTCCGGTACTGCAAAGCGCCATAAATGATACAAATGTGAAAAACTAGGGGTAAAACCAGATGAGGGAAAAGAACCAAGATCAAATACACGAAATAAACCACCACTGTAGAAATGAGATTCTTCCATTTGCATATGTGATCAAACAATTTCCAAGCCTCAACAAGTAGATTAAAAGTAGCCAGGAGTCTTTCAAGATTAGCTCTTCCTCTTCTTAAACTCCATACATTGGAGCACACATCCAGCATATACTCCACAACTTCTCTCCTTAATGGCGGCTCAGCACGGCTCAACCTCAACGACAGAGTATGAATAACTTGGTGCCTTAAACTCTCAACTTGATATACTGACAGTGGGAGAAGATAATGCATTTTAAGGGAACAAAGGCTGTGTTTAAGATTGGAACAAAGGCTGTGTTTAAGGTTGAAACAAATACCATGTAGATGAGCAAGTAAATCTCACTGCTAATTGAATTTCACTCATCTTCTTCACTCCATTGGGTTGTAAAACGATAAGTGGATAAGAATGTGTATAAATCCTATCAGCATTAAGTGTAGAGAGTAGAATCCTTACCTTCCTGATTCTTGGATCCTCCGAATTTCCAGTGTTACTTCCTCCTTGCAAGTGACAGCTATCAAACACTCCAATTGTAATTACCATATAGGGATCATAAACTTCCCAAGTATATTGTTCCTTCCACTTCGGAGCAAAACTGTCAACAATTGTCCGTGTCCTCACCCACTTAGGCCCATATTTGGCTATACAATACCCGTCAGTAGTTCCACGTCCATCTTTGGACTTCATTGGCGGCAAACCAGTTGCATTCAAGATTCCTAACTCCAAGACATCAATGATAGGAGGCCACAACAATTTGGACGTCGCCCTGAAATCACTACTATAGTAAATGGACTCATCGAGAACATGATATCCCCCATCTAAACAGACCTCAAATGGAGCCTGCTAGCAAACCTCACCTCCCTATTGTTTTGATTATCATGCTCAACCTTTCCAAGATTATACCAGTTAGCCTCTAGAGGTATAGGAAGTACCCTCTTCTCCACTTTTGGTAATTGAATCATGCAACTGCCAAGAATATCCTCCTTATTGTACCCAACTTATCCACCACAGTCAAGATCAAAGGATCATCAAAAGGTTCTGCTACAACAAACATCAAATCCTCATTCCAGGTAGGGTTGATGCTTTTATTGGGCGAAAATCTACTCCTCAAAACCATATTCCCAAGCATAGCCTTGACATAAACTTCTGGTTTCCTGTTCCTATTTATAGGCACCAAGTCCTGTGCTTGAATTATATTGACTCTACGATACCAAAGTCTTGGTGAAATATACAACTTTGAACAAGTATTTGCAATGCTTTCGCCATTAACAATTGCTGCATCTGAGTGCCAAGCATCAGAAACACCTCATCAGCTTGAGTCCCCCCATCCACATGGCTAACATCAATTCTCCTCTTTCACCTTTCCTTCCATCTTTATCCTCCAAACTGTACCACTGCGGCGCAAGGGGACAATCTGGGGGAACACGACTAGGAATGTCTGGTATGTCAAAACAAAGTTTCCCAATAACATCTCATTGACAGTGTCCTTGTTCCTCACAGTTACCTCCACAGTTACAGCCTGAATTTGATCTTTTTCGAAAGCAAAAACTTGGTTCCATTCAGGGTCAAGTTTCTTCTTCTCAAAGTACTTTGTTGTGCCTTTGTAATTACCAGTCTTCACTTCAACAAAAGGATTACATGATGTCCCTGGCAAATCTCTAGCTCTTACCATTCTTACATACAAAAAATGCAGTTGTTCAACAAGGTCGAACGATGAGGTAAGCTTTTCACTGCCAGAGACTCTTCCTCCACCAATATTTGGTGAAGTCTCCTTCAATGAAAAATCTACATTTGCTTGCGACATCATGCAAAACTATCTGAATGAAAAAAATATTACAACATTTGTAAATAGAAAACACAGCAAAAAACTGCATGAAAAATCAAATTACAAAAATTTATTCTCCAAATTTATGCTAAAAACCGATGATCAAGTATGAATATTGCTTGCCTGCAGATTGATACTTGAAGAAGGAGACCAAAACTGAAGATGTTATGAACAAAGTTTGCTACGTTTTTGTTCTGGTTTAGAAGGATTTGAGTGAGCAGGTAAACTTTCAAGGAAAATCAAAGGGAAATCAAGAAACTATCCTATTTAATGCTAAAATTAATTAAATAATCTTGATTTCATATTATTGATTGATTTTGATTTTGAATGAGTATAACGTATATTATTACCATTTATTCTATATTTTAATATACATTATTACATCTAAAATATATTTTATTTTTATAAATTTTTCAAAAAAAGAAATTTACTTTTATGAAAATAATATAATCCTGAAGATAATAGTCTATTTATTTTTTATTGAATAACAATTTCTTTTATATATATTTGTTACCTTATTCGGTTGATTTCTATATTCATGTAAAGTAAAATATTATCATTAAGGGAAAGAATAAATATAATAATTAATAATAATAATTTTACCTTTTTTTTTTAATAAAAAGAAGTCATAATTTGAAATAAAAAAAAGTTTTAGGTGATGTGGTTTAAATCTAAAAATTATTAGATGCCAATCTTTTGAGATGGACTTCTAACTTTCATTATATTTTTTAATAATATTTTATGATATTAATTTCTTTAAAATTTTAATTTATCCAATTTGGGTTTTTCAATTTTGATTTTAAGAAATTAATTTAAAATTTGTTCTAAATTTTTATGTAAATATAAGGTTGAAGTGATTTGATCTTTAATAAAAAAAAAAAAAACCAAATCATAGGAGTTTTCAATATTGTCACATTGACTAACCAAAGGAAGGGAAAATTGAATAAAAATCAAATAAAATCAAACCGAAAGTACATATAAATAACACACAGTAAAAGACTGCAAAAAAAAAAAAAAAAGCTTACATAATTTTCAATTTTTATTTGATTTAATGAAACCTTGAATTTTTCTGTAAAAAAAAAAAAAATCCAAGAAAGAACGGATTCAGACCAAAATAATCCATTATTTACGGGACTGCCACTTCCATGCTGTCTGAATCTGCTGCAAAGACCGAAACGAAATCAAATTTTCAAACCCCTATAGCAGTCTCTCTCTCTCTCCCTCTCTCCAAAGTAAAGCAATTTTTTCCCTTCATTTTCCACGACTTTCGAGGCCACTTTCCGGGAAAAAATCCGGATCAGGTAAAATATTGGCCTTCCATTTCCTCCTTATCCTCTTCTTTTTCTTCTATCGTACAGAAGAAAATCAACCAAAAATAAAAAAAATAAAAGGGTAAATATAAATGCATATTTACTAAAATGTAGGAAAATAAGAATAAAAAAACAAAGTCACGCTCTGTCTTTGCGAACTATTTTCTTTTTTTAATATTTTGTGATTTCGACTTTGTTAGGCGAAACTCTCGGCTTCAGCTGATTTTTTATTATTTTAAATTTGGAGGTTTTACTTTCTTTCCTTTTCCGACGGTTTCTGAGTAACCAAATAGGGTTCGTGAGAAAACGTAACTATATATATTTTTTTGTTTTTAAATTTTGTGTGTGTGCTGTTCTTGAGGTGAAGTAGTTTTAAGGTCAGAAGATATTGAATTTGATATTTCAAAATTGTTATCATTATTTGTTTTTCTACTCTTATTCTCTCTATATATACTTTTTATGCGCTATTATTGATGTTTGAAATTTAAATTTATGTGGCTATTTAGAGCAAGAAATTTCAATTGTTAAGTGAAATTGAATGATGCAAATTAATTTATAGGCTGTTGTTCTTTTTAGATTTAATTGGTCGAAATCGGATGGCAAATAGGGAAGATGAGGGTTTCTATCACAGCCTTTCAAGGAAAGAGCTTCAAAGTTTGTGTAAGAAATATGGTTTACCTGCTAATAGGTCGAGTTCCGATATGGCTAAATCACTGGCCTGTTATCTAGAGGTAATTCATTGAGCTATCATTTTCGTAGGCAATTAAGAGTAAAGAATCTGAAGCCTATCATACTGCTCTTTGCCTTTATGTAGCTGTTAGATATGTCAACTTGCATTATTTTGTAGTTTAATTCTGTTATATTTAGGTACCTTGGTATGTTGTATTTGAGCTGATAATTTTATGTTAGCATATTTTATTTATAGGAGTAATTGATTGGATATAGTTTTAGAACTTTCTTTTTCCTTTTCTGAATTGTTCTTTTAGAACTTTCTTAATATGACAGTAGGGGGAAAAGGATTGCAAAAATTTATATTGGATATGGCCTACTGTTGGTCAAGGTCACTTATTACTAGTTATAAAAATGGATTGAAACGAAAAAAAAAAAAAGGAAAAACAATAGGTAAAAAGGGAAAAAAAATAAAAGGAGTTTATAAGAAGTTAGAATGGAGACATGCCAAGGAAGGCATTTTAAATGCCACAATTGTTATTTTTTGCTTTCCGGTTTTTTATATTTTAATAATGAAGAAAACATTTAGGATTGACATGCTCAAATTTTTAATAAACATTCAACTAAGATAAATACGAGGCTAGCTAGCATGTCACAGGAGGATTCTAGCCAATGTCTAATCTAATCTGATATCAAGGGGTATCTTTGCAACATAAGTTAGTGTCACCATTGATTGAGAAAGTATTTTATGAAGCAATTGCTCCATATGATGCTGTATCATGTCCATTTATATATGGACACGTCATTCATGATAAGTGATGGGATATTTCTTGAAATATAGAAAGTAGAAATATGATCGTAAAAAGGAAAGTTATGGCGATGAAATAACATGCCAATGTTTTAATGGAAGAATTTACTTATCTTTGGCAATTGATGAAATTTTAGTTTGCACGCCAAGACAAAAATTTTACATCAAGGTTTTGTTGAAATTGACATCTCTAGCGGTATTGCCTTGTGATGTCTTCCAAATAAAAGCCTTGATTAGTATCTTAGGTTCTATTTTTGAGGATTTTATTGATTTCAAAAATGTAGTTTTAGGAAAGTGGCCGCTACCAAATTACTATATCTTGTAGCCCCTACCAAATAGCTTTATCTTGTCAGATTCAGAGAGTAAAGGTTTATGTTATGCCATTTTACTTTTGGATGTTCCAGTCTTCGTATAAGGCTCTATTTATCTTAATTTGTTGCTATATGTTTTCTTCATATTGTTTGTAAAAAAGGTTTTTGGGTTGTGCCACATGCAACTATTCATCTCTGTTAATAGACATCCCTCTTAGCATCTCTCATCTCAACCATGGTTCTCATACTTTTTGTTTGTCATGCCTAGGCAAGCTGCTTCATTTATCATGGTGAATCTCATAGAATTCAGCCTGTTCCATTGTAAACAGATATTTACACATATATGTATCCACACATACACACACACAGATACATATGTATCTGTATATATGCATATGCATACATATATATTTACACGTATATGTATCCTCACACACAGGCAAAAAGAGATACATGTACATATACATGCAGTAATGATGTTGTGACTGTGCTTATTTGCATGTTAAGTGCATGTGTCTGCTTGCGGTACCACTTGTACAAGGTTTCTTTTTATTTTCTTCCCTTCATTTATACATGTGCTGAAATACCGTATTTAGTAATCTGCATGTGGAGTTTACGAGATTTTCTTACAGCTGCAAACTTGGATGTAAATTGTTCTGGTCTACCACATACTAAACAAGCTCTGATATTTCTTTATTCTTCACATGGATTTTTCATTTGTCAAAAACAAGTTCCTAAGTTTACATAAATTTGAAGATCTTTTTTATCCCATCATAATATATCTTGGGAAAAAAATATGCAGAACCAGAGATTGGGTTCAATGTCCATGGGAGAAAGATTATATGAAATTCGAGAGACTGGACTTCCTTTGCCCCTGGAAGTACAACTGCAGCCTGGAGCATCATTAAACTCTTTCAGGGATACTGGAAAAGGTATACACTATTTTTTGTGTAACTAATAAGTTTGTACTTAGTTTTCTCAAATTAATTTAGTACTATGATTTCGTTGCTATAATTGATGCAGGTTTTCTCAAATTAATTTATTACTATGATTTCCTCTATAATTGATGCATCATTGTATGAATAATACTTGGCTGCTTCTGCAGATTGCTATGGACTCATCTCTTGTCCCATAGACAGGTGTAATGGAGGGAATCATTCTCAAGCTGTTAAATGTAATGCATTGGGTTGTTGCACAGGAGATAAATATTATCATAAGGTTCGCTTTTATTCATGGATGTTTATGTTTACGGTGTGGATATCTTTTGACTTCTAATGCAGCCAGATAAATCCCATGTGATTCCTCTCTTCTTCTTCCTTATTTCTTGTTCTCTTATCTGGCATGTGTTAGGTTAATGGAGTTGTTCCTGATGAAAGATATAGAGCATTTTTATCTCTAGAAGCAAGAAGATTCTTATTAAGCCCCCCCAGCACAAACACACACACACACCCCTCACCACCAAAAAAGAAAAAGAAACTACAATGGTGCACTGCAAATGTTACTGGATGGTACTTTTGTCTGGCAGAGAGATGTGGATGCTTTAACCTTCAATGCATTATAGTTTGCTTTATAGAACTGAAAGTTTTTCTCTAATGATATCTGTTGCTGCAGGATGGCTATAGTGGTGGCTCTATTTTTTCCCTGCAAACGCCACAGTCGCGGTTTGTTACTCATTATGATGACAGTGGTTTTAAGAATAAGGAGTTACCAGCAATATTCTTCAATAAAAATTGTCCGAGTCTCACGAGAGATGGAAGGATGAACGATATGCTCCAAATTGAACAAAAAGACACAAATGTTGCTGCATGTTCCAATGAGAATGCCTTTCCTTCCTCCATAAATACTCCAACTGTTTCTCCCTCTTCTTTTCAGTTTCATGTCAGTTCAGAAGAGGGGATTAACCTTTATGTTGATTTAAATTCAAACCCATCAGAGTGGGTTGAGAAATTGAAAAGTGAGGTTTCTATATGCCAGAACATGTCACATAGCAAGTCTCAGACTTTTCATAATGAGCTTGGGCGCTTGGGAGAGAGTAGTACACAGATGAAAAATTCTTTTCAGTTAGACGTAGATGCTGGGAGAGTCAAGGATATCCATACGCACCCTGGATTACCCCTAAGTTTGATCATAAAAGAAAATAATCCATTGCAGCTTGATCATTCAGATGGAGATGGTGGATCCTTGGGGTCAACTGTAATGACACAATGTGCCAGAGCTGTAGAATTGTCAGAGCATTTAGAAGGAGATCAAGGACTGACCTTATTTAAAGTTCCTCCCGATTCTCAGGAACAAATAATTTCTGGTGGTGCATTCTCTGTTAAAGATGGGTGTTTGATGACTCTTGATTCGAATATTAATTCTCCTAGGAAGAAGTTAGTCAGTGATGCTGTATTCAATAAACCAGATGGTCCACTAAATCATCTCACAACAGAGCATCAGAATTCTATGCTTGAAAATGAAATTTGTGAGAATTCTACACTGCCAAATGGTTGTAATCTTGTGAGTCCTTGTGGAATAATTCCTGGATGCCTGCCGGATGGTTCATTGCAGATACGAATGCCCAAAGATGTGGTTCACCAGAAAGATGCATTACATTCACCTTGTGAAATTGGTGAATTTGTGGATTTGGTTGATCCAAATCACAGTATTTACGAAGAACAAGGTGGACTAGTTGCCTCAACCGAGCTTGATCAAGAGAAATTTAGGAACCGGCTGCCTACATTAGTTGAAGAACAGGTAATAGTTCACCGCCCCTAGCTTCCAAATGTAATAATACCATAGGCAAACTATTATCAGTATATAGCCGTATTTGGTTGATGTTTTTACCTCCCATTGTCATTCATTCTTGGTAATTGGCAAAGTATTGCATTCTTTGTTGCTTTATGGTGAATGTTTGTATACTAATCAAAGAATTTGCTTGACATATGTCTGCTTGCATGCATGCCTCTGGTTCATTGACGATCATTGAAAGATAATTGAAGTAGGGTGCATTTTTAAATAGTTTCATTTTGTTTAAATACAATGTTTGGTCAGTATCAATGAACGTCAGCAGAAAGGGAAAAGAATGAGATAACAGTAGATTATAAGAGAACTAAATGCATAATTTTGTTCTCCCTTTCCTTGTCCACTCTATACCTTTCCTTCTCCCTACGGTGACATTGTTTGTGAACTTTCATGCTTTGAGGCAGAAAGCTGTAAATGGTTTTTGATCAGTTTATGTGTGCTCCTGGCTTTTTATAATAAGAAATTGGATTTAAAATTTGGCTTTTGTGAGATTGATTGAAGGTTGATATGGGGATCCTATTTTAAGCATTGGAGAAAGTAAGCACTAAAAGAACGGTGAAAGGAAAAATGAAGATCAAGATTAAAAGAGAAAGATTGTGAAATTGGAGGAAGATCTATGTTCTCAAGGAAATAATGAACAAAATAATTCACTGGCTAAAAGCGAACTATCATGTTTACCTGGTTTACTAGATGATAATCTGAAAATTTGGCTTTAGTAAAATCAATTTCTTTATTATTACTTTCTTTTGTTTCTCTTTTGGGTGGTCAGGGGAGGTGGGTGTAGAAATCTAAATACATATCTGTTTTTCTCGGTCTACTCAATGAAAAGACTAAAATTTTACTGTATGAAACTGCTTGCAGGGTAGGAGCAAAATTATTAATTGGGGAGAGAGTTCGGAGTAATTATCCTTCTTAATTTAATTAATGCTATAGAATATTTATTTTATGTGTTGATTTGAGTGCATAATTGCCCTTTTCAGATGCTCACATGATGAGTTATTTGAAAATTGTGGAGGGCTTGATAAAGCTGAATCTAATGGACTTGGCAAAAAGAGGGCATATATAGATGGTGATCAAAATGATTGTAGCACGCTTGATGCCAAGATTTTAAGAAGCACAAATCATCTGATTAGGAAGGTACTTCCCAGAAGATCCATGCGGCTGGTCTCCAAGGTTCTTTTTTAATGCTTTGCTTTGCCTGTGCAATTAATTGTGGCATTTGCCACCCCAGTGAAATAAAATCACAGATATTGGTTTAGAAACCCCCCCCCCCCAACATGATATGGAATGATAAACTATTCATTTGTTAATAAAAGAAAAGGTTTGTTCTTTCTGTTCTCTTGATTTTGTATTTTAATATACTAGGAAATCATTAGTTAGTCTGAAGATAACTAGAAGTTTATGCACTTAGTTTTGGTAGTATGCATGTTTGTGTTTACGCAACTAGTTTGTTGTTCATTCTATCATGTGTGTGGGAGAGAGATGGAGAGTGGTTTTAGCACCTAAGTAAAAAACCCAAGATCTCCTATAATAACCTGTACTTTTCCCTTTCAAGGTCTTCAACCTCTGTCAATTTTGTTGGTTTGACAACTTTTTTCTCATACGTTGGAACAAGTACGTGATTCTTGATGCACTGTTTTTGATGCAGATTTCAGGGCATGTGTTATATGTTTGTCATTAGTTAGCAGTTGTATATCTAGTGAATTTATTATGATAGTTTTTTGGTTGCATCCTTTTAAAGATATAGTGACTTTGAAATGTATGACTTGTGTATAAAAATGATTTTTTTTAAGAAAACATTCTTTTTACTGGGATGTATCTATTTTATTGTACCCTCTTCATGTTACGCAAACACTATACGGTTGGGCTAACTTTAGGTGAAGGCGTTTATACTTATCAGGAAAGAGAATGCCATTAGTTGATTTCCAGGCTTTTAACTAAAAGTGGTGATTAATTAATTTCCTGAATGGACATGTCAAGTAAGTTTAAAGCTACCCTCGAGAACTTGGCCTTTTAAACTAATAAATGAGACTACAATAACAAGTTAACTTTAGAATAAGCTCTGTAGAAATTCTTTTTTTCTTTATTCTTTTGCGGGGACTGGAATGGTTTCTTATCCAAATCCAGCTCGATTAGTGGCAGAACTTGTGAACTGTTTGTTACCATGCACAAATCAAATAAAGTCCCTGGGGCACTTCGAAAGTATCCACTGCTTTATTTGGCAGCTATCTTAGAGACGTAGACTATGCTGGGTGAACATGGAAGTTGTCATATTTGAATATGGTGTGTGTTTTAGCTTTTCTTCTCATTTGTCTAAATATATTCTATTTTTTTCCTCAGTGAGTTTGTACAGTCTGTGTGGGCCAAATTCAAAGTATTGGTTTCAGTTCACATTAAAATTCATTATTGCAAAGCCAAGTATTGTCCATGGTAAGTCTCCTTCTCTCTTCTAAACCATGATGGGAACAAAATTAATATTTTGCATAATTTTCTGCATAATAATTTTATTTGATCCTATGCTTTGATTGAGTTTACGTCAAGTAAATAAGAAAATGTTGGTTTAACTGAAATAGTTTGTGCATAGGTATATGTTTCTTCCCCCACATATCTGTGTATAGAGGGAAGGAAAGTATACCTGTTATCCAAGATGTTTTCTCTAAGTCAACAAGGTGTTGATCGCCTACTTGGAGGCGACATTGTGATATTTATAGTCAAGATTTATCGTAGTTGTCACTGCTGAATGCATTTTAGGAAATTGATTTGTCCCTTCAAATTCCGTACGAATATATCTTAATTTGTAGTGATTGCTTAAAGCTGTAATTAGTTGCTAGTTTTACTACTGCTTTTTGCTTTTTCATACCTCATTTGACTACCAAAATGAGCAAATAGCTAAACCTAATGCTTATTGAGTTCAATTCATACCCTTTTTTTTGGCCATTAATCTAAGTCAAATGTTAACAAAAGTAGCTGTCAAATGTTAGCCAATAGATGGTTGGCTCAAGTGGCAAAGAGAGTGTGTCTTCTCTTTGTTGCATGAATTCAAATTCACTAAGGGGTTATGGGAAGGTAATTTCCCAAAAATTCATTAGATCCAACTTAGATAAATATCTTTGGACTGGCTTGGAGAAGGGATGTACTAAGCCAAGTCCAGGAATCTCGTGCCGCCTAATAAAAAAAAAAAAAAGCCATAATTTGCCCAAATCTTTGTTAGTATCCTTGTCATGAGAACAAACTTATTTAGAGACAAGGAGCGAACTTCTACTTCGAGCTAAGTTGTCAAAATTTCGCAATGTGGCATCCACTTATTCATGATGTCAATTTATGCAGGTTGCTTCATTCTTTGGAGAACAGTTTTTCTCACGGACCTAATAAAACGAAAAAGGTATCATTCAAGTTGTTTGGTGCATTCTAACTTTGTTCTCTTACAGCAAATTTCAGAGCAAATCATAACATTTTTGAAAATTGATACACAAATAAAGATTTTTTGTTGCAGTCAATGCAGATGTCGATGTTGTTGTTGTTGTTAAATTTATTTTCTATTGATTCTTGTTGAACCTCTTTATTTTGTGTATTTTTCTGGGTTTGAATCCTTCCCTCCCCCAAACACGTAGGCTCTATGTTTTTGCTGTGTTTACTTGCTTCACCCTATCTAATCAAATTTCGCACTATTGATGTATACAATAACTTTCACAAATTTTCATGCATTTTAACCTTCTTTTGACAAGCCTGAGATCATGTACTGCATTTGTGCCTTGAGGGGCTCAAGGTCAAAGCTTATTGTTTACCCTTTGATGTCACTGCGTTATTTATAAAATTTCACAAATTTCTGTTCATATTACGTTAAAAAAATAGCGTTAAAACTAACGCATGGTCGGCAAGAAATTTCGACTTATATAAAATGATTTAAACCCGGGTCAGATCAAGTTTGATCAATTTTTTGTGGTCTTGTTCAAGATTCGTTTTAGCTTATCGAGCTGAGGAGATCAGAATTAAAAAAATAAATAAATAAATATTAATGTTTTAATATTTTAAATTAAAATTAAATTATTAATAATTTAATGTTTGGGATCGAAAATTTCTATTCAAGACTCGGATTGAGTAGTAGAAAAGGCAATCTAATTTAATTCTAACGGGTTTTGTTTTGATCAAACGTTTAGGGTTGAATTTTTTTAAAAAAATTTGGTATCAGATTGAGTTGAATCAAATAATATGAAAAAAAATTTAAGATCAGCAAATGAGATTATACTTGACTTTATATATATATATATATTAATGTTTTAATTATTTATTTAATTTTATATTTATTTATATATATTTAATTTTATATTTGTATTAAAAATAATATATTATATTTTAAAAAATATTTTATTAATTTCGGATAAGATATAATTTTATACAATGTAAGATTAAATTAAGTTTGGATATAATAAAAAAAGTTATCAAGTCGGATCATATTTGAATTTTATATTTATAAAGTTGGATTAAATTTAAAGGCTAAGTAAAAAATTTTTTTGATTCGATTTGTTGTCATCGCAATTGAGTAGAGCATGTGATAAAGCGGGTAACCCGGTCTGTTAATAGGTCTAGAATGATTTTCAATAAAATATAAAAAATTGAGTAGAACTTTTGTTTGATTAAAAAAATAAAAATGTTTTCTAGGAAATGAAAATAAAAACAGGCCAAAACTTGAGGAAAAAAAAGTTTTCATTTTCTTCCGAGTTATTTTGCTTTTCTTTTTCGATCATTCTGGTATGGTGTAGTTAGATGTAGAAGGCTATAGAAGATACTGCTGTCAAACATTTCCTTGTTTTCTAATCTATAGCGCCATTTGTAGATCTATGCTCTTTTAATTTAAAAAATGGATTTCTATGAAAAAGGGGGGCACGTTGAAGAATCTGTATCCAGTTCGTTCTAGCAATCTGCCTGCATTTCAAACAAAGTGGCCTTGCAGGGTTGTAAGAAAAGCAATATTTTCTCAGTCTTTCTTGCGCCCATTCAATCGCTACAAATGCTATATTTCTAGCTCAATCCAACTTTCATCTCTGGCATAGTTCTTGTCTATGGCCTCAACCTAGGCTTTTCTGGCTCTTTCTTCAAAGTAGCCTAAGATTATTATTGCAAAGTTGTTTAGAAAGTCCAACCCTTACTGGTTCAACTATGCATAGGCCTATATTATATTCCATGGATTATGAAACTTGTTTAGGTTTATGCACTGATTTTTTTTTTTTTCATTTAAAATGCATTCTTTATGGTTGCCGATGTTTATGCACTGATGTTTATTCAATCAAGGCTCCGGATATGTAGAGCCTTTGTGTACTTATAAATTACGTACTTGCAATTTTAATTATGTACTTGCAATTTTAACATGCATTTTGTTTTAATTATTTAATTATAATTTTTCTATTTTTTGTTTTAAAAATGCATATACCAAACATATTTTTATAATTTTCATTTTTGAAAACAAATTTTCATTGTTGTGTATCAAACATGTTTTCTAAAAGAATAAATTACATAAATATATTTTAAATTTAACGCGATTTGAATTTATCTTTTGAAATTTAAAAAATAATACTTAATCATCCTAAACTGTATATTAGTGCAATCCATCAATTTTTATTAATGACATTAACGTCTAATCAATAAAACTTAGCTTTTTTCTTTTTTTTTTTCGTTTGTTTTTTCTTATATTCAAATTTTTCAAAAAAAAATTGATTTGAAAGCATAAATTCTTTGCAATGTTTAACAAGTGAGGATCAAATGTTGGAAAACTATACTATTATGGTGTGTGCCGCAAGTTGATCTTTTTCCTTTTCCTCTTTTCATTTGTTTTAAAAAACTCAAAATTTTTTGAAAAATTCAAATAAAAATCATAAAAAAAAAAAAAATCATGGTTGATGAGTTGTTGTGACTATCATGTGGATTTGTGGTTGTTTTGTGCGTTTATTGTGTGTGAGTGATTTAGGGTGGATTCTGATTTTGTAAGTTTTTTTGATAATTACTGGATTTATTTTTGAATTTGTTGATAGTTGCCCTTGAAAATCGATGTGGTTGTAGAATTGAAATTAATTGTTTGTTTGATACTTGACATAATTTTTAACAGTAAATATTTCATTTTCAAAATGACACAAAACTTAAAATTTACATACAAATAGATAAGCAAAAAAATCGAAAGTCTCAATCAATAATAATCAACACAGTCAAAGAACACCATTAATAGAAACATCTAAGAGCAAAATCAAAACTTTAGGCCTTGGTTTGATATTGCTTTTCTAGGTTTATGAAGAAGAGATTTTCGATGGTTTTGAATTTAGTTGTTTAAAAAGAGAATTCATTTGATTTTAAAGAGAGAATATGAAGTGAAGATGAAAAAAAAAAAAAAAACTAACGGTTTTGAGTAAAAGTATAATAAAATAAATCATAAAGTAATTAAATGTTATATTTTAAATTTCAGAAGACAAACTCAAATTGCATTTAATCATATATATATATATGTAATTTATCATTTCTAAATTAAAAAAATAAAAAACGAAAATTATTTTTGAAAAATGAAAATAAAAAATATTTTCAATTACCAATCGTAACTTAAGTTTTTAGGCAAGATGCTTTCATGAAACTTTTTTAAGAATAATAGCCCTCCTGTTACGGTGCAAATAGAATCATGGAGACGTTATCCCTGTGATACAATACCTGAACCGAAGAAGAAAAAGATTACACTTAAATTTATTCTTGAAATCACATGAATCATGAATTAGAAAATTGAATTCAAGGAAATAAATTTTGATTTTAATTTTAAAGAATGAAAACATGTAAGATTGTTTGAAAAATGAGTGTTTAAAAAGTGGGTATTTGGATGCCTAACATATGAAATTCAAATGCTTGCTCTTAGATTTTCAAAATTTGTCATTTTAGAAAAGGGCAGTCGGTTGCCAGTTCTAAACCATTTCACGGCTTTAAATGTTATAAATTTTTAAAAATTTAAATGCCTAATATTTTTTTTAATTAAATAAGTAGTTGAATAAAAAAAATTTAAAAATAAATTAAAAACTTAAAAAAAAAAAAATACATTGTATTTATATGTAAAGACAAACAATATTGTTGAATTTTAAAATTCCCAATTGAACGAAGCTTAAATTTGATAATGTATTGATTCAATTTAATTAAAATTTTAAATTAAACTCTTTATTAAATTAATAATTTTTTATTTTTATTTGAACCGAATTCAAATTTATACAAAATTGATCGCTCGATTATAACTTTAAATTAGACTCCTCGCCAAATTAAAAAAGTTTTCCTTTTCTTTTTGCCTCTAAAACTGCGTCGTTTGACTGGGTGCAGTTAAACATAAATAAAAGCCCTTGTCTTCATTTATTCTCCTGTATTCTGTCTCAAAACTCCTCTCCAAACAGCCTCTCAGTCTCTCTGCATCTCGTCTTACCGGCGTCGCCGGCATTAGTGTTGCCTCCTCCGCCTTATTTCTCTCATAGCTGGTGAACCTTTTTCCCATCTTCTTTTTCTTCTTTCGTCGCGTCACTGCATTCCAACCCTCACTTATTTTCTGTCTCCGGAGGCTCTTCTTGCTTTCTCTTCGCTCCGCGGCGTATACTTAACTCTCCCGCAGCCCCGCTCTCTTCTCTCCTCAGTCCTCACCCACCAAATCAGGTATCTTTTTCACTCTTTCTTCTCTTGATTTTCCGCTACATATTTTTCCCCTCAATTTTCAGCCTTTTCATTAATTTTTGTTCAGTTTTCTTTTCTCCCGCTAGGGTTCAAGAGTAATCCAAAATGTTATATTCTGTTGAATTAATTTTCCAGTGTTTGTTTTGAATTAAACGTTTGTGCAAAGGAAACAATATTTTGAAGGATTAAAAAAAACAAAGGCTTTGGAATTTGAATGATCAGGTTTGTAAGTTTTGATCCTGAATGGGAGCTACTGGGATGGATGAATATGCTGCTTTCAAAGAGAAGGTGAGGCGGACGGTTTACATGGACAATCTGTCACCGCATGTCACTGAATCCGTCATTAGAACTGCTCTTGATCAGTATGGAACTGTCAAGAGTGTTCATTTCATTCCAAACTATTTAGGGCCTCAGAACATCCCCCAATGTGCTTTGGTCGAGATGGAGAAAGAAAAGCAAGCTGAAGTTGTCATCTCGACATTATCTCAGTTCCCTTTCATGATGTCGGGAATGCCAAGGCCTGTGAGGGCACGTGCTGCTGAGGTGGAGATGTTTGCCGATCGCCCTAGACAGCCTGGTAAACAGATACATTTCCGTTGGTTGGACCCTGCTGATCCTGATTTTGAGGTAGCAAGCAAGCTGAAGCGCCTTGCCAAAAAGCATGCAACTGAAACTGCAGTCATGCTAAGGGTAAATTCACAATCTTGTATAACAGCCATTGCATTTAGGTGTGTAAAATAATTTTCTTTCATAGTGAACATGTTAATTTGTTGCTTTGTAGCATCAACTGGACAAAGAGGAGAAGCTTGCGAAGCAGCAAGGAGAGGCTCTGAAAGCAAACTACAAGAAGTATGAGATGATAGATGGTTTGATGGCTGATGGAACTGCTCGACGTTTGGCACGACATTATAATTTGAGAGTTTCAGATGATGCTGGCCCTTCTACCTTTCAGTGACAATCAACAAATTTATGTACTAATGTAAGTAGTTAGGCTCTTTACTTGGCATGTGGTAGAACACTTTAAAACCTGTGGATATCTTCTCTTTTTGTCTAATTTTAGGTGCACTTAGAATTTATTCATGTGATCTTTCATGTTATCTGATTGTCAAGATCTTGAAAATTTTCATGCTAGAGAAGCACAAAATCACAAAAATAATTTACTTAATAGTACAACACCACCATGAGTTTTAATTAATTCAAAATTTTGATACATGAAAATCATAGATGATTCTCATTCTTGAGTGGTGATTCGTATTGCCAAAAAATTGACTACGGAAACAGGTTGTAAGTGCCTAATCAATCTGATTGGCTCATGTAAAAACAAGGTTTAAGTTTAGCAATTTATGAGCATAGGTTATATATCATCATGATAATAAGTGACCATGTTATCATAATTCTTAAATTCTCAAAAACAATTACTTCTACTGGTTAATGCATGCATTGGCTTTGAATAATTTAATCTTCCTTGAGTAACTACCTTAGGTAGACGTTTGTGGTTTGCCATCTGAGATTATGATAAAAAAGTTAGCAAAAGAAAGAACTCATTTTGGAATGGTTTTTCACTTAGATACAATTGATGGTTGATATTTGTGAGGGGTGCTAACTTTGTGGGTTTGAAAATTGATAAGTGGTTGGAGAATGTTGGATTGTGTTCAATCAAAATGAGTATTGTTATTGGCTTTGATTACTATTTTCTATTTGTTTTGATGGGAAATTTGAACTTGATATCTTCTTTTTTTAAAAGCATGGCTGCCAATAGGCTATTGTCTTGGTCACTGTAAATATTTTGTTAAGGTAGGTATCTATTTAGAAGGAATAGAAAAACCTTGCAACTTTTTCAAACGCAATACGTAAATAGCTTCAGAAAGTAGCAAATTTCGAGGACAACCCCAGTTATTGTCAAAATGATCAATTGTTCAACCTTTGTTTAGCCCAGTCCCCTCTATGCCAAATCTTTTCAAAATTTAATCCTCTTAGTTCTATGCTACTCATGAACACATATCATTAAACATAAACAACTTTGCATTATCATTGCAAAGTTTTGGCTTTTTGTGTTGAAATTGTGGTTGATTTGGTGAACATTTGCAGATAGTTTTGAGCATAAGTAGGGTTTGATAGCTCTTTCAGTTTTTTGATGGGTTTTTCAAAGACATTGGTTTTTCATGTTTGACTGGTTGGATGGTACTGGCCAGGTACATAATCTGTAATTTGATTCTCTCACGGTAAAATCTGCAAATGAGTGTTTTTTTTCAAAATTAAGTTCAGTAACTTTGTTGTAATTCTCTTAGTTTTTGTATGTAATTTGTTCATGACATTTTGGCCAGTTTTGAGGGCCTATTAATGCTTTATCACTTGATATCTTATAGTTGTAAGTCTTACTTTTGAAATTACAAGTACTATATTTGTTTTGTAATATTACATTAACAGTTTTAAGGACCCATGTAGAAATTTTGCATGTTTTTGGGTTCTTTTTCTTGGCGAGTTTATTTAAATTATAAATGCTACTTATAAGGCAATCCATCGTCCCTAATTTAACCTAATATTTCCAGGTGTCTATTGCTCAGATGATTAGCCTTGGCATAGTAGGACTCACTGAGAGCATGCTGTGAAAACAACGTCAAAGCTGGAGAAAGAGAAGGCTGGTGAGGTTTGGGCTATGGTTTTCTCTCCAACCCTCGTAAGTCTTTTCTTGGTATTAACCACAAATTGGAAATTTGGCACTCCCTATTAAATGCTTTCTCTTTTTTATGTTCGTACTGAACTTCTCAAAATTAGAAATATGTATGTATATAATTTGAGCTGATACAATGAGAAATTTGAACTTAATTCGAAATTTGTTCAAAATTTGGTTCATGCTTGATTAAGTTTTAATTTTTAAGTTCGAGATTGATTAGAAATAAAAATCGAGCAATTCAAGCTTATTCAATTAGGCTTGTTTATTGATTTAAAAATGAGTTTGATTTTAAGCTCAAGATTATTTAAGCTTGATTATTTGCATTATAACTCGATTAATCACTGTACAGGGAATGAGATATTCGAACTGATATATATATGTATATTATGTAAAGATAAAATTATAATTTTTATTTAAATAATAAAAATATATATTAAAATCTAAAAGTTTAACTAAACTCGAGCGTGTGTTAAGATGTTCGAATTTGGTTTGTTTAATAAATATAACTGTTCGAGTTTAATAGTGATCAAATTAAATTTGAGTTTATTCGAGTTGAGGTCGAATGGTTTGTAAACATCCCTATCAGGAGTTAGCCATGCCAAAATTTGGGTTCTGCCTGATTATTATTGTCCTAATCCAACCTACAATAAGGAAGGGTAACATTTCTGTTTCCCTTGAGTGCATAAAGTCGATGAGTACTTAACCTCTGATCAGGTTCTTAACAGGAATCCTCGTTTACTCTAACAATAACAAGGGTTGAATGAATGCCCATTGACACTTTGATTGAATGCATGTATATGAGTATATTCAGTCTAAAAGACTTGGATTCCAATTTTTTTTTTTTCAAAGTAAAAAATATAAATATATGAGATGTGTTGATTATTTGAATATATACATTTTGTTACATAAAAATCTGAACTACACGTTCAAATACAACTTTTCCTTTTTTTTTTATAAATTTCATTATGTTCATTTTATGATTTAAATTCAAAGCTCGAGGTAAAGTCTCAAATTTTAATTGTTAAAGTCTATCATTAGAATAATTAATTGAATATTTGACTAAAAACTAATTTTGTTTTTAAGAAGTTGTGTGGAATATGTAATATGTGTAAGAGAAAATATTGACTTTTGATTCAGTAGTAAATATATGTATTTCCTCCTTAAAATCAGATTTCAATTTATCTTTTCAAAAATCAAAACAATAATGTAAAGAAAATCTATATTATTAATTTTGTAAAGATTGGTGCAAAGGGAGAGTGTCCACGTGGAACCTCTCATTTCCACCAATTTTTATTTATTTTATTTATTATTTATTATATTTATTAGATAAATTTTATAAATAAAAAGCAATGAAATTAGGATGATAGATCAATTATAGCTGCATTTTTAAAAAAAAATGGAGATCAAATTGAATTTTTTTTTTTAAAATGGGATCGGATTGAATACAAATATAAGATGATTCTCCCCATTTTGAGTGCTCACGTGATATCTCTCTTTTTTTTTTTTTATTTTCATTTTCTTTGTTTTCTATAGCCTTTTCTTTTCAGGCTTTTATTTTTTAAAATTTTTACTTTTTATTAGATAAAATTTATAATAAAAAATAAATTAAGATAGATATGACAAAATAATCCATATTTTATAAGTTTCAATTTACTTCAACTTAATTAGTACGATTTCTTTTAATTCGAAATAATTTGCTTGAATGTTTTTTTAATTGATTTTGAATCCAAGTAAGATTTTGAGTGTTATGTCTTGGTTTTGGTATATATAAAAAATATATTTATTATTATTTAATTTTATATTTATATATTTTATTAAAAAATATTATGTAATACATTAATAATAAATTCACTTGCCACTTTATTTGCATATTATTTTGGTCATTTTAAAAAAAATTATTTATTAAATCAATTTTGAAAAAAAAAAATCAATGAATATAAAGATGATAAAACAAGTTACATCCAATTGATTTCAACTCCTCATAGTACAATCAATGAATTTTTTTTTTTTTAAATAAAGATTGAATTAAATTTTGTCTTTTGAATAATTTAGGTCAATACAAAGATCGGATATGAAATGTTTTGCCTCGATTCTCTTTAGGATATATAAAAAATGTATTTTATTATTTATTTAATATATATATGTATTATTTTAATAAAGATGTTTTTTAATATTTTAATTTAATAAAAATATACTTGTATATAATTAAGTTATAATTTATATTAAAAAATAAATATTATATTTATTTCATTTAAATTTGACATAAAAAATTTACTTTTCATATATTTAAAATATAATTTTAAAAAATAAAAGTAATCCCGAAGTGCGAATTTAATTATAATAATATTAAATTTGACTAAGTTTTTATTGTGAAATGAAGAAATTAAGCCTTTATGGTGATTCAGTCATCATATGTATTAACCTAAAAGTATATTATGTAAATTTTTTTCTTTAATCTTACTAAAATTATAATTTTAAATATGATAGAGAACATGATATGAAATAATGTAAAAAAAATACGAAAGTTGATTAAAATTTTATTAAAAATCATATATATTTAATAAAAATAGAAAAATATGTTTCATTTTTATCGTGTAAACATGAATTCCGACACAATTATTCTGATGATATTTAGATTGAGTTTGACAATATAAATTTCAATACAATATCAATGAAGGTGAATATAGTGGCTTTGAAGCAATATATAGAGAAGAGATATCGCCTCACCCAAACCTGGCCAATCAGAATCCTGCATTGAATTACTCGTGGATCCTGACGTGGCCTCCTCTATTCCTCCTCACTCATATCTTATCTTCCATCAAATAAGCCCCCATTGAGCCTTCTCCCCCCCCCATATGCAAGCCATCCTTTGCATGGTATTACAATCCCACCACGCTCTTAGATTTCCCCGTTTTTTCCCAGTCCATATGAACCAAAAATATGACTACTAACTCTCTCAGATCCCTTCACCATCACCACTACTCTTTCCTCAAACGCCTCTCCATCTCAGAATCCACCCTTCCTCCTCATTCCTCCTTCCTCAAACCCTCCTCCTCCTTGTCCACCACCACAACCACTCCTTCCTCCTCCTCTACCACCAGCTTCTCTCTTTCTTCTATCACTTCTAATTCCACTTCCTCCACCACTTCCACTACTTCCAGCCCGATCTCCTTTGACACCCTTCAGCAACACCTTTCCACTCAAAACTTTCGCCAGGCTGATGAAGAGACACGCCGCCTGCTCATAGTTCTAGCTGGGGAAGCAGCTCAGACACGTGGGTATGTCTTCTTCTCTGAGGTCCAATTCATCTCAGAAGCAGACCTGAAAGCTATTGATGATCTCTGGAAACAGTACAGCAACAAGAAGTTTGGATACAGTGTTCAAAAAAGATTGTGGCAAAGAGTTAACAAGGATTTCACCAAGTTGTTCCTCAAAGTTGGGTGGATGAAGAAGCTTGACACTGAAGCTGAGCAATACAATTACAGGGCTTTTCCTGATGAGTTTGTGTGGGAACTCAATGATGAAACACCCGAGGGTCATTTGCCATTGACAAATGCTCTAAGAGGAACTCAACTGCTTAACAGTATTCTTAGCCATCCAGCTTTTGAGGGTCAGGAACAGGCACAAGATGCTGAACAAGAAGGAGAAAAAGGGAGATTGAGAGATGGATCAAAGCCACTCAGCAACAGATTTTTCAAACCAGATTATAGCATTTGATCAGGCTTTAAATGCTTTTTAGCAAAATACACTGTGAAATCTGAATTGGGTTTTTAATTAATCAACCATAAGTGGTTGAATTATTGCTTCCTTTTACAGTGATGATTTCATCTTTCACTTTCATACTACTGTAATTTCAAAGTGGCACAATGGCTGAGTGGTACCTTTTTTATTTGAAATATTATTTGGGAGTTGGAGGTGGAGTTGGACCAGTCATTGGTGATTTGATCGTTAATGCTATCTCAGAGGGAAAAATATATAATGACAAAGAAATGCCTGACATTTTTGTTCTTTTGCTCGTTTTTCATTCTGACATTTTTTTAATCTGTTCTAGCCACTGACATTTTTACTTTTCTGAGAAAGAAGCTGTCCTTTTTATTCTATTTTCATTGATAAGAAAGAGTTTTTAAAATTATATAATATAATATGATTTTGTGTATTTTTTTTAATTTTTGATAATTATTTTAAATTTTGATTAATTTGAAATCAAATTAAATTAAATTTTATAAAAAATTAATTTTTTTAATACATATTTTTTTATTTATAAGATTTAAAATCAAAATTTTACTTAAAAAAATTAAACTCATTAATTATTTCTATCAACAAACAGCCAATTATTATATTAAAATTTTAATTTAATTAATTTATATAATTATTTTTAAAATATAAAACTCATTTAATTTAAAATTTAAATTCTAACATTTTATATCCTACCGTAACCTTTTATATAAAAAAATAATAACTACAAACATAGTAAATTTAGAAGTTGAAACATAAATCGCCTCATTGATGAGAATTTAATGACAAAGACGGAATTTGGGGATGGATGAGAGATGTAGTTGATGGGGGATAATTGTTAAAATCTTTTATTTAATTCCTAATTTTCTTTATTTCTAAAAAGTATCATGTCAAAAACTACATATTTTAAAAATTAATGCTAAATTTAATCTAAAATTTTAAACGAAATGATAAATTTAAAATTTTTTTCATAAATTCTTATTTTTATAGATTATTTTGTATTAATAATGTAATTATACGAAAGTATTTGATATTATTTTTAAAATCATCATAATAATTTGATTATTAAGTTGATTTTATTATTAAGATAATTTTATCGCTCATAATTTAAACTCATTTTATTTGATTAATAATAATAATTAATTTTTAAAAATAAAAATTAAACATCATTTTATTTGAAAATATCAAAATAACCATACATATTATAATAGTTACAAAATTAATGTTTTAATATTGTTTAAAGATAATAATTTGTAAAAAATTAAGAAACACATAATTTAAACTTATTACAAGGAATATTAATTTAAAAATATAAAAATTTATAATATAAAATAATTAAATTTTGAAAAGAAAATAAGTTTTAAATTCAATATTAAATGGATAATATTAATATTAATTATTATTAATTTTACATATCACTTTTTATCGATGATAAAATTTTTTTATAATTTTAAATGAAAATTAAATCACTCTATAAAATAATTATATAATTATTTTCAATGATCCAAATCATCGTCACATAAAATAATTAAATATTTATCAAATATAACAATTTAATCACCGTATATAAATTATTATAATTTTTAAATGATCTCTTTTATATCAAATATTTACTTGACAATCGTCTACCTAGTAATGGCAACGGGTCTGATCGAATCGAATTTTTGTTCGCCTTGAGCTTGACATAATTTTAAATATACAAAACTCTAATCCGAACTCGATTCGATAAATTTTTTATTATTTTTATAACTAAACTCGATCAGATATTATATAAAATCGTATTTTATTTGATCGATCTAAAATTAATAAAATATTTATTTTTAAAATATAAAATATTATTTTTAATATAAATATAAAATTAAATATATAAAAATATATAAATAAATAAATATAAAATTAAATAAATAATTAAAAAAATAATTTATATATCAGATCAGAGAAAGTTAAATTTATCTAAAACTCGATTCAATTCGATCTTAAATTTTTTTCTTATACCATCCGACCTGATTCGATACTCAAATAAAAAAAATTGATCTTAAAAATTTTAATCATATCAAAACCCATCGATTTAGGATTTTTTTGCCTTCTTTGCGTCTACCCAAAAAATATTTAATGGCTGCCACATTGACCACCGCGTCTTTCTTTTGTGTGCAAATAAAGAGACCAAAATCTGCTCGGATTTTTTTTTTCCTGTATCTTTCATTTCCTTGGTCCGGTTTTGGCAAAACCACAGCGGTCCACATTATTGTTGGTGGAAAGGGCAGAGCAGAGTCAGCCATGGATGGCAATGGAAGGTATCTTTTTCAAGCCCTTTTTCTTTGTAACAAAAATTTGCCACGTCTCTAACATGTTAGAGCTATTGCTCTCTATATTTTTAATTATACCAATGACATAATATTTCAATCTCATATTAAAATATTATAAAAATTCATTATGATATATATAAATTTATATTTATATTTGTGAGATATTAATAAAATTATAAGACTTGCAGATGTAAAATTAAAATCTTAGTACTTATAACTCTTTTTTTATTAAATTGTCATACTTTGGGATATGGAGACCATAGAAGATTTTGTCATGACTAACATTATGTTTGGATTGAAAGGAAGAGAAACAAAGGAAAGAAAAATAAAAAAAGTAATGAAAACAAAAAAATAATTTTTTTGTTTTGATAAACATTTAATTTAAAAAAAAATGAAAATCTAATAACTTTTAGTTTCCCTTATAATTTTTTTTTTTTTAAATATCTTGATTTGAGAAAAAAATTAAGAAAAGAAAAGTTGAAAATGTTTTATTTTTATGAAATAGCTATTATATTAATATTTTTATTATAACATTAAATTTAATTATATAACTGACACATTTAACAAATATAATTTTTTTATGAGTATTTTATATAATATCACAATTTATAAATATTTTATAATATTTTAAATCTTAACAATAAAACAAGTCAAATTATTATCAAAATAAATTAAAAAATTAAATTAAACACAAAATTAAAAGTAAATCAATAATTAATTAATACATCTTATTATATTAAATATATTAATTTTGTTCAAAAAGATTTGTTTATATAAATTAGATAATATAAAAATATATGTATATATTATATGTTACTTTATTAAAAAAATATTATAATAAATTATTTTATTTTATTTTTACTGTTTATCCAAATAATAATTATTAAAAATTTTTTTTTATTGATTTTAACTATTCAAAATAAGAGATAAATATACCTTTTATCTTTCTTTTAAAAAATTTACCTTTTTTTTTTTTTCTTTTTCCTTTACTCTCCTTTATGGCCCACTATTTACCAAGGTATATCAGCAATGCTAAACCCTGCTACCATTTGTAGGACTGGAACGTGCAAAGATAGGAGACCCAGGCTTTCCTTTTGGGTTATTAGAGTTTACATTTTTAGGATAATTAATTCTTCCCATCACTTATTTCAATAAAAAAAAAAAATCTTCCAATCACTTGTGTAGATAAACACTGTAAAGCTAACACAAGTACAGAACTTAGATTTCAGTGATTGCTTTTAGGGGACTTGAGTTTTTTATTTATGAATTTAACAGTTTGCGACGTAATATAATATGATATATGTAAAGATTTTAATATATATTTATAAAATATTTTTTGTACGATAAAATTATAAAATATTTAAATTAAAATAAATAATATCTTATGAATTTTTAATTTGAGTAAATTATTTAATTAAGTTTAGCAGTACAATTTGTTTATTCAAAGGATATTAATTAATGGGATCTGTACAAGCTAGAAATCACAACTAGCTTGATAATCTCTTGTTTCTGTTAGGAGGAAATCTGTCAACTATAGTTGCAATAGAATTTAAGATAAGTCCAAACCATCATTATTTTTTTGAAAAAAGAGCACAATTAGATTAAAAATTGACTTATAAATGATGATAAAATATAGTACAGAAACATACAACTATATACATGTTAAGATCCCAAATGTATTAAGAATTGAATTTCTTGTGGTTTTAAATTTCAAGATAAGTTTTTTTATTTATAATCAATTAATTTTAAGTTAGATATTTAATATAATATTAAAACTCAAGTTTTGATTTGTAATTTTGATCTTATATCCTTTCTAAATATGTGATAGTTATGCTTACGCATGATGGATTCTATATTTTTTGAGATTATCACGTATAATTAAACATATATGTGATGAAAATTTGTTAAATTGACATTTTTCATCTGTTAAATGTTGAATTTTCTATAATTTTGTACTCAAGTTAGGTGCCCTCGTATCACATCCGTTAAATATTGAATTTTCTGTAATTTTGTACTCAAGTTAGGTACCTCATATAACTAATTGGTCTTAATTTGGACGGTTATTGGAAGTATTTCTTCCTCTTCGTACCAGCTTAAAGAAAAAGCAGCATGTTCATTTGAAGTAACCAAAAAGTTTTTCTTTTCCTTTCTTCTTTCTCACTTATTCGATGATTCCTTAGCTAATCAGCCACCTTTTAACCAGAGATATATGTATTTAAAAATAGCATCTATTGAAAAGAGTATTTTAATTTAATAATTAATTGGAAAAATGAAATTAAGTGGGAATAGTAAAGCCAAAAAGTTTGAACTAAGTTATAGTGGGTTTGGCTTGGTAGCAGAAGTTAGGCCAGGTTGAAGATGAATTTGTGTAACTAAGAATTAATCAAGAAAGTTGGAGGATTTCCACAATGTTGAAATTAATCAATAAAAGGCGCCTTTATTGCTTTGAGTCAGAGCTTACTAGCTCTGATATGAATCCAAAGGAGGATATGGAATCAATGGACCTTGAAGAAATAATATTGACTTCATGTCTCTGATGATGTTGGTTTTACAGAATGCAGAGCAGATAAGAATTTATTAAGGATTTTTGGGATTTTCAAATCCCAAATGATGGCTTCTCACCACCCATCAATGATCACATTTGAACTATAAAACTGAATATCAGGCTTTGGGTTTCCTCAAGAAAACGTGGAAACTCCTCCGTTTCCCAATTCTTCGAAGGAACCTAATTTTATACAGTAATGGCCTCTAGCAGTTGTTTCTTATTGGTTTTCTCTATTTTTATCGTGCTTTCAGGCATTGATACAAACTTTGCAGCTCGATATCTTCTTGACAAGACACCATCTCTAGCTCCATCTGTGCTGTCCGTTTCTGCTCCACAATCTTCACTGGCTTCGCCTGGTTCGAAATCAAGTTTGACACCACCTGCAGACCCTCCTTTGGCCACCCCTACACCATCTGTTTCTAGTTCCATGCCAAGTTCATCAGAATCAACTAGGTCTGGACCACCCTCGGCTTCAGATGAACCATCTCTGACTAATTCCAGGCCAAGCTTAACGCAACCTGCAATGGCGCCTAAAGCTTCTATTCCCACACCCTCTCAGCAATCTTCAGAGAATTCAGTCCCAGGCTCAACGGAGTCTACAGTGGCTCCAATGGCCTCCTCTCATCCGTCCTTATCTAATAAGAAGCCAAGTTTGATGCAACCTGCAGTTTCACCTTCAGCTGATACCCAACCATCTTCTTCTACTAATAATCCATCTCTGCCCAATTCAACGATCAGCTTGGCACAACCTGCTATGGCACCCATGGCTTCTACTAATCTATCTGCACCAGATAAAGTGCCAAGCTTGACACTGCCTGCAACATCGCCTTCTGGTACGACCCAACCATCTTTCCCAACTAATAGTCCATCATTGTCCAACTCAACGTCAGGCTTGACACAGCATGGACTGGCACCTAAGGCTTCCTCGGAGGCATCTTCACCTGATAAAATGCCAAGCTTGACATTGCCTGCAACATCACCTTCTGCTACCACCCAACCATCTTTGCCTACTAATAGTTCATCATTACCAAGTTTGACACAACCTGGAATAGCACCTATGGCTTCCTCTCAACCATCATTGTCAAACTCAACACCAAGCTTGCCACTGCCTGGAATGTCGCCTTCTGCTACCCATCCCTCTTTGCCGACTAATAGTTCATCGTTATCCAACTCAACTTCAGGCTTGATACAACCTGGAATGGCACCTATGGCTTCCTCTCAACCATCATTGTCAAACTCAACACCAAGCTTGGCACCACCTGCAATGTCACCTTCTACCACCCAACCATCTTTGCCTACTAATAGTTCATCAATACCAAGTTTGACACAAACTGAAAAAATGGCACCTATGGCTTCCTCTCAACCATCATTGTCAAACTCAACACCAAGCTTGGCACTGCCTGGAATGTCGCCTTCTGCTACAACCCATCCGTCTCTGCCGACTAATAGTTCACTGTTATCCAACTCAACTTCAGGCTTGGTACAACCTGGAATGGCTCCTATGGCTTCCACTCAACCATCAATGTCAAACACAACGCCAAGCTTGGCACGACCTGCAATGTCACCTTCTACCACCCAACCATCTTTGCCTGCTAATAGCTCATCATTACCAAGTTTGACACAACCTGGAATGGCACCTATGACTTCCTCTCAACCATCATTGTCAAACTCAACACCAAGCTTGGCACTGCCTGGAATGTCGCCCTCTGCTACCACCCATCCATCTTTGCCGACTAATAGTTCATCGTTATCTAACTCAACCTCAGGCTTGATACAACCTGGAATGGCTCCTATGGCTTCCTCTGAACCATCATTGTCAAACTCAACACCAAGCTTGGCACTGCCCGGAATGTCGCCTTCTGCTACCCATCCATCTTTGCCGACTAATAGTTCATCGTTATCCAACTCAACTTCAGGCTTGATACAACCTGGAATGGCACCAGTGGCTTCCTCTCAACCATCATTGTCAAACTCAACACCAAGCTTGGCACTGCCTGGAATGTCGCCTTCTGCTACCACCCATCCATCTTTGCCTACTAATAGTTCATCGTTATCCAACTCAACTTCAGGCCTGATACAACCTGGAATGGCTCCTATGGCTTCCTCTCAACCATCATTGTCAAACTCAACACCAAGCTTGGCACTGCCTGGAATGTCGCCTTCTGCTACCCATCCATCTTTGCCGACTAATGGTTCATCGTTATCCAACTCAACTTCAGGTTTGATACAACCTGGAATGGCTCCTATGGCTTCCTCTCAACCATCATTGTCAAACTCAACACCAAGCTTGGCACTGCCTGGAATGTCGCCTTCTGCCACCCATCCGTCTTTGCCGACTAATAGTTCATCGTTATCCAACTCAACTTCAGGCTTGATACAACCTGGAATGGCACCTATGGCTTCCTCTCTACCATCATTGTCAAACTCAACACCAAGCTTGGCACTGCCTGGAATGTCGCCTTCTGCCACCAATCCATCTTTGCCGACTAATAGTTCATCGTTATCCAACTCAACTTCAGGCTTGATACAACCTGGAATGGCTCCTATGGCTTCCTCTCAACCATCATTGTCAAACTTAACATCAAGCTTGCCACTGCCTGGAATGTCGCCTTCTGCTACCCATCCATCTTTGCCGACTAATAGTTCATCGTTATCCAACTCAACTTCAGGCTTGATACAACCTGGAATGGCACCTATGGCTTCCTCTCAACCATCATTGTCAAACTCAACACCAAGCTTGGCACTGCCTGGAATGTCGCCTTCTGCCACCCATCCATCTTTGCCGACTAATAGTTCATCGTTATCCAACTCAACTTCAGGCTTGATACAACCAGGAATGGCTCCTATAGCTTCCTCTCAACCATCTTCACCAGATCATAAAATTCCAAGCTTGACACTGCCAGCAAATTCACCTTCCAATACCACCCAACCGACTTTGCCTAACAATAATCCATCAATATCCAACTCAACCCCAAGCTTGACACAACCTGCAATGTCACCTTCTGTTCACCAGGCTTTGCCCCATTCCCCAATGGCACCTATGGCTTCCGCACAACCATCTTTACCAAACACGACTCCAAGCTCGACAAAAGCAGCAGTTGCACCTTCTCCTACAGCTCATCCTTCTTCATCTAATACAACATCAGGGTTAAAACCATCTTTGCCTAGTGCTTCCTCGCCTCCAGTTTCTGGCATGAATCCCATCAAGCCAACAAATGCAACTACAGCATTTCCGTCTATCCCAACGAAAATCTCTTTGCCATTCCTTTCCCCACCATCTACCAAAGCTAGGCCTTGAAATAACTATTTTTCAATTGCCTAGCTTGCATGCAAAGATAAGTATTTTATATTAATGTCAACAATAAAATGGTAAATCCTTTTACCTAGATAATAAAAATATCAAATCATTAGAATAAGCTTAATGACCGGGAAATTTTTAGCTATTTGTTTGGCTGAATTTCTTGGGTTTTTTTTTTTCTTTTTTTTCTTTTTTAAAGTTTTAGGAGAGATTCAAACTTGTTCTTTGACAGAAAATATGTGCATTAATTATCATATAAATCAAGTAGTTGTAATTTCTTTTCGATCCAACTGGCTAGGAAATTATCGGTTTTGATGTATAATGTTCTTTCTCATTTTATTTGATTTATGACAATTCAAATTTATCAAGTTGTATTTCCTGGTTACACATTTGTGAAAATTTAAGAAAGATATATGAACTAATTAAAAGCTTATATTGTTGGGTAAATTATGTTATTATCAGTTTTTTTTGTATTTTTCTGTCAAAATTTTCATTTTCCATGATTATATTTCACATTTAAAATTTTAGTTCAAGCAACCAAAAATAAAACAAATATACATATTTAATTTTTTTATAAAAAATGAATCACGATTTTTCATCAAATAAAACAAAGTTAGAAATAAAAAAAAAAAAAAAAGATTAATGAAGCATATGCCTTTGCTTTCGCCATTTTTTGGTAGAAAGCCAACGTGCTTTCTTGCATCACATTCATTATTAGTCAAACGAAAGGGTTTGGTATATAGCTCCACAAATACTAAGAATTTTCTAGGATAAGAGTTTGAGCATGTCCTTTTCCAAATGACCCCATTTTTTTAAAAAAATGGAATTAATAATAATTAAATTAATAAAATTTTAGATTAAAAATGTGAAAGAAAAAGGAAATGGGATGTGTGGCTAAAAAGTAAAAACCTTGTTTCTAATCATCTAGTTTCCAATTGTTTTGAGTGAAACCTAACTTTGCTGTTATATGACATTGATATATTCATATTTATAATCTATTTATAAAGTTTACAATCAATAGTATTTGTAACATCTACATCTTAAAACTATCTCTTAAAATGTTATAACATACTATTAAAATTATTTCTTAAGGGATATAATGGTGACATGTGGCAAGAAATGTGCCAAGCCTTTTGCTTGTCACATGTATTTTTTATTTTCTTAGTTTTTTTTAATCTCTTAAAAAATTTAATATTTTGACATGTAGCAAATTCTTTGTTTGTGATGAAAAATTTTAAAATTTTTCAAAAAATCATTTTGAAATTTTTTTATTTGTTTAATTAAAATTATAATAGAATAAAAAACATAATGGGAAGTGAGATAGGAGTAAGTATTATTTGCAATTAGAAAGCCTTCCAAATTTTTTGTAAAAAAAAAATCAAATATCTAAATAATAAAAAAATTAAAAAAATATATTCAACTCATCAAGAAAAAAGTTAACTTCAAAATTTCTAATTTTTTTATCAAAAAATCTCTTAAAAAATTAGTATGCCATGGGAAATTTTAAAATTTTTGAAAAACCTTTTTTTTGAAAAATTTATTTACTTAATTATAATTATAATATAATAAAAAATTAAAAACATAATATAGGAGGTTAGAGAGGAGTAAGTATTGTTGGCAATTAGAAAGCCCTCCAAATTTTTTTGTATAAAAATCAAACCAAAACACTTAAATAATAAAAAAATCCTTATAAATATATTCAACTCATCAATAAAAACAAGTCAACTTCAAAAATTTTAAACTAACCATATTAAATTTCAATAACATATTAAAAAATAAAAAAATTTATATTTGATATATTGTCAATGTATAAATTTTATACACTATCAGTGAATCAGATGATAACAACTCATTAATGAAGTGAATCAGATGATAATATCTCATTAATGAATAAGTTTTTTAAAAACTTTTAATTTGGGTAGATTTATTTTAAAGGTTGATATATGCTCATTAATGAAGTGTTATCATCTGATTCATTGATAGTGTATAAAATTTATATAGTGACAGTGTATCAAATATAAACTCAAAATGAAAAGACACAATTAAAAAAATAATTAATTGAAAAAATAACTTACACAAAAATTAACTAAAAAACTCACCAAAAAAGAATAAAAAATTCTTTAAAAGTTTTCTAGATCTAGAATTTAATTTCTTTTAAAAAAAAGTATTCTAAAAGCAAAAATAAAATAAAATTGAAAAGAATTAAAGACATTAGTTCAATAAATTTTTAGTAAATTTCAAAAGAAAAAAAATTAAAACAATCAACCATATAAAAACTGTAGATATAAGATTTTCAAATTCTATTTTTCTTTAAATCTCAAAAATCCAAAACTAAAAAAGATAAAATTTTTAAAATGATTTTTTATAAAAATTTTAAAAATCTCAAAGCAGCAGTAGCATTTTAGTAGAATAGAAGTTCTCGAAGTAAAAGTTGTAATTATTACAACTCAAAAATTGAATAATAATAATAATAATAATAATAATAATAAGTATATACAAATCTGTCCCCCACTTAAGATTTTTAGCCAACTTGTCAATGTAGTAAAAAAATAATTAGAGGATAATTTAAGGAAGAAGGGCAAAGCTAAAAGTAGGTTTTTAAGCCATTTTTTTTTTTATTTCACTCCTGCAGATGTCGTGCCTGTCCTTTATGTTGGATATGCTTCATCATTTTCTGCGGCTTCACCTGCGGTTCCACTTGAGATGATTCAGCAGTGGATTCCCTTCATACATGCTATGTAGGGGAACATGGTAAAGGGGAAAAAGGCTATCGATGGACCAATCCTTCTACCGCTACCTCCTCATTCCTTAAGTTTTTATTTTTTATTTTTTATTTTCCTATTTTAAGATTTTTTCCTGTTTTTCGATTTTACCTTCAATTTTTTAATTTTTTGCTACAATGTTCGTTGTTGGTAGAAGCTAGGCTTTATCAGAGGAAAGTGGAAGCTGCAAAGAGAGAAGTTTTCTGTCATATTCAAGAGGTAATGACATGTGTTTTTTGTGAAAAATTTTATGTTTTTATAAAATTTTCAAACTTTATCTATTTGAGATACATACATGAAAAAATAATTTTTTGTTGGATTTTTTTTATAGATTACAAGTTTTGATTTTCTGAGTTTTTTTAGTGGAAGAAAATAATATGAAGTGTTTTTTCCAACATACTTTTGTTGCTTTGATTAGCCATTTCCATGAGAAGAATAGCAAATCATTTTTTAAAAAGGTAATTTGGGTTCATTTTAGGCTCAGTATATGAACATGGCTAGCAATTGCAAATCTTTCATTGCTTTTACAAGGCAAAAGGTGGCTGTTGAACAGGTGCATTTTTTAATGTTTACTAATTCTTTTGATAATCTGTTTTCTGGGTTTCTTTTTCATGCGCTTAGAATTATGCTAATGGGCTATGGCGGAGTTGAAATTTGAAACATTAATGAACCCATGAGTCCACCATAGTTCTAACACTATATTTCATCACTAAAATTCAAATGAAAATTGTTCTTCTCTCTGATTGAGATGCCAAATCCCCTCACTTTACTTCACAGGTATTGTAAAATGTGGAATGGCCTGAATAGTTCCTCTTTCAGGATGAGGATTTCAAACGCTTTGATGAGTAAATAATACAAACTAAATTTTTTTTTTTTAAATTGAAATCTATGTTAAAATTTTGTTTTCCTTGAGATTATTCATCTAATTTTGTTCATGCTTTGCTTCTTCCATGCGTTAATTTTCGAGCTGCTGTTACTCACCATCTTCATGATGATTATTCACATTTGTGATTGCTAGTTAGAAATTGGAGAAGTAAATTTTGAAGCATCTATTACCAATTTACTACAGGGGTTTTGGCTTTTAGTGGCGTTTTTTTATTGTTTAGCGACGTTTATTAACACCACTATAAGGTTACGACATTTGCAAAAAAACGTCACGCACTGCCTATTCACGCGTCACGGTAAACAGCGACGTTTTTACAAAAATGCTACTATTTTAACAACGTTTTTAAGCACAAACGTCACTAAATTTAACGGTATTTTCTAATACAAATGTCACTAAATTTAACGACGTTTTTTGATACAAACGTCGCTAAATTCAGCATTTAATGACATTTTTAAATACAAACGCCGCTAAATACAAAATTTTACTTTTTTTAATTTTCTTTTAATATTTATTATTATAATTAAGTAAAAATTGTTAAAAGAAATAAAAATGAATTTAAATTCATGAACTGAATATTATAAATATTTAAATATCTAAATCCATAATTTGTTCTAATATGCATGTAACACAAAGTTTAATATATGTAATAACATTTCACTTTGCATTTGTTTTCCTCTTGCCCATCAACGAACTCCATAAAAAGAGTCACATTTGCTTTTAGTGGAGCCTATAATGCCTATTCCTCCTCTTGGCTTCCATTGCTAAAAAGAACATTTATCCAGGAATCTCAAAATGTGTTGTTAGAATTGCATCACAGTACATTTCATTTATCTTCTCCACAACTTCATGTTCCATCCTGATTAAAAAACGTCATTGGGTAAGCTATAATGTAGCATAATACTTGTAATGCAAGATAAAATCAAGGAAGATATACAAGATCTCATTGATCTACACCTAATTGATGCTAAAACAAGTAATCATAAATTGGAATTGAAAAGATCAATTAAGGAACCAAAAGGAAAATTGATTTGAAGAACAAAAAGTGCAAGAAAATACAAGAATTAACTAGAAACAACTAAAATATAAAGTGAAATTCAACCAAAATTCACTGAGTTGAGGAAAGAAAAAATTAGGTCTAGAAGCTTATAATGAAAATGAACTTGAAATGAGCTAAGAAACAATTCATCAATCAAGTTTGCTACAAAATTCAACAAGAAAATGGTAGCAAAATAGAGAAAAATCGGCTTAATGAACTAGCAACTCAAGTGATACTGAAAACAGAGAAAACCAGAGCATTAACAATTAAATCTATACAAACAACAAATGAATTCATGAAAATAAATGCAATAAATTAAAAAATAACAAGT